GCCACAAAAGAAGTGGAAGCTCTGCACGGGGACTGCCAGCTCTCCTCGTGTGCCACAGAGCAGGAAGGAACAGGACGAACCACCAAATCCAGCAACCTGTTAAAATACTCATTTTAAACTAGGAAAATCAAGAAATAAATGAAAAAAAAACATGCTGTGATGCTGACAACACGAACACTCAGTGAACAAGAAATACAGGTAAACCCTCAGTGCTGGGGTGATACATTAGGCCCACATGGAAGTGACAGGCACTTCTTTTTGTTCGTCTGTCAAGGTCTGTACACCAAGAGTTTGGTGGTGGTCAAAGCTTTAGTTTCAGCTGTCTTAAACTCTGCAAGCACATTTCTCATAATGTAAACACATGTATTTCCCTAACTAATATTATCATAGCAGAAAAGTATATTTCTCCAAATAGTACTTATGATGAATTGTGTCTCAAACGTATTTTTTATGTGCAGAAAAGCAAAACAAAGCTATTTTCACATGTACTCTCCCTCCAAGACACTAACATAATTGAAAGATATTTCTCTCCTTTTTCTGTCTCCCCTCAAACACATAGAACAAGGCTAAACTTTGTGAACAGGCTGCTTACTTCTTATATTCTGAGAAACTGGTTGTCTTGTTTCCTAGCCATGCTTCTTTAAATCTGGACAGTACTTTAGTGATTAAACTTGTTCTTGTGTGCACATTTCCTGCATTAGCCTGCCTTGTGGCTGTTGATAATGGCTTTGGCCTTGGCACTGTAAAGCAAGAGGGAGAAGTATCAGCCTTGTGCATTCAAAGTGACGGCCAGCTGCACATCCTCGTTCCCTTCTCTCAAATTACCTTCTCTTGAGACCGATGAAGGCAAACGGTACGGCTTGGCTCTCTCTACTGCCAGCTTCCTCTGGACTGTGGGAAGGATCTTGCTATATTGGTCTAAGAGAGAATTTCTGGCTACTGCTCTCTCTCTCAAGCGAGGATCACGATCATTCTGACAAAGGAAATTTGCAATGCAAGAAGTTAACAATTCACCAGAAGTTCATTGCACAGGACTGTCTCTGCTCTTTCCAACTAAGGCCGAAATTTGCTCTACAGACAAAGGAGAACAAATCCACTGCACAGAACCACAGCAAGTTCTAGGTTCCACCCAGGAGCACACATCAATTTCACCTGGTAATTTTGGATAAGTGCAAAGAAGACTGGAATAAAAGCAGAACATAAAACTCCTAGTTAAAAGGACTTTGGCACTTAGCAGAACCCTATTCTTACATAATTCTTAACACCTGCAATTTTCAAATGGCTTATGGAAGAGCAGGCTTTCCTCTGGTTATCGTGAAATAAAGATGTCTGAGATTACTGAATACACAGGGCAACTGCAAATTACGTTGGAAAAAATTATGGGAAAATTAAAACAAGAAAGTCTACCTACACACACCTCCTGTCTGGAACACAGTTTTCACATACAGTTTTCATACACTTAAACCTTCCAAGACTACCTTTTAAGTTTGATTTACTGGAAAGATACACTTTCAAAAAACAACACATATATCAGAGGTCTCTAAGAGAAATGCACATAATGCAAAATTTTACCTCGATATTTTGAGAAACAAAATAGGTTAGAATTTACGTCATAAAACTGGTAGCATGAAACTACTGGAATCAGAGAGCTTGCACTATAATTTGAGAAAATAAAAAACCCAAAACCACAACTAAACCCCACTACATATATTTGACCTGTTAAGCATCCCGGCAGCGCTCAGGTGAGATACAAGATATGACAGACAGCATACTGTTTATTCCACAGAAAAAACTTACACAAATAAGTTCCCTACCTAAACCATATATAACAGCAGGATTTGAGGAACTGAATGAAAAGATGGGATGGCAGAAAAAAACCCCTATTTTTTCATCAGATACAAACAAACTTTGTTTCAGTGGTTCACTCCACTGAACATTTAATTTATAACTTCACATGGCAGTTTGCAATAGTAAAATTATTTCAGCTACCTTTTAGGTTCAGCTGTAACTTGACATGCAGGAACTTATTCCTAGTCTTTCAAAGAAGGGTATAAAAGACGAAGATTTTTCTTGAAGACTATCAAAAGTGATCAGTCACACTGACAGAAACTTGCATACTCAACAGAACTGCTACCCTTACCGTCAGATTGGCCTTCATGGACTGATTCAGCTGGAGTGCTGGGATGTAGTTGGCACGCTGCAGATGGTGGACTAAGAGGAATTCATGGTTGTGAACACCAGATTTGGTCTGTAAAAACTTCTCCAAACACTCCTGTGAGAAATAACACATTTCAAACATCATTACCATTCTGCCTTTTCTCTTGCCAAAGAGACAAGGCTTTTTTGTTTCTTCTCCAAACTCACTTTTTCTGTGTCTGTGAAGGGCAGCTTCAGCAAATCCTCCATCAGCCCCATCTCCTGACAGATTTCATACATGTGCTTTAGCAGCTCCTCTATGTTTAACTTCGTGGTGTGTTGCTGCAACAGACCCCAAGCCTCCACCATGCACCTGCAGTTAAGGTTTAGGACATGGAAAGGAATGGGAACACGGAGGCCACAAAGATGCCCCACAGTGATGGTATCCATTCAAAGCTCAAAGGAAATGGTGGAGAGCCCCATTTGTGCCATCAGTTCTCCACATTTCCCAAGATGTGAATGCCAAAAGAGGGGAGGTTTCCTTACCTGTTGGACAAGAGCACGGTGAGGAACAGCCGCACCTCGTTGCTGCTGGACATGGACGGCTTCATCATCTGCATGTACCTGAGGGCTCGCCTGTGCTCCCCCTGGCACATCAGGGACTGGATTATCCTCATGTGCTGCCATGACACTGTCTTGAGTGTGGCTGGATGGAAGAGCAGGGCCAGGGAATTCTGGACAAGTTGAGAACAGCTTCATTACCATAGATGCAAACACCCATGCAACAAAGAGTCAAAACTTTCTACAGCAAGGCTGGACGTGGGTTAGACCAACTGAGAGGTCTAAATAAGAAAATACTTGATCCAGGACACATCAGTAAAATTCTTCAGTATTTGCAGGGAAAAAAATCAGTGATACAATTGTGAATGTCTTAAAACTAACGATTCAGATTTTTCTAAGTTCACGAAATTCTGTGTACAAACATCTCTTTTTATAAATACATTACTAAATAATAAGTTACTTGACAGGTGAAAAACAACCTAAAGCATTGGGAAGATAAGGCAGACATATCACTCCTGCAGTCTTTTGTCTCAAATGTTCCTGCTACCATCAGCTTCCATGCTTCAAGTACCAAAAACACTCTTAGAATCAGTGCCCAACCAGTCAGCTGAAAACCTCCTAAAACAGAGATGGCTTTAAAAATTCAAACATTAAGCATTATTTATGCTGATTATGCCTTTGTTTCAATCAATTTCTGTCAAAGTAGTTAAAACAAAATTTCAAATCACAACTTGTTGCTGAAGATGTCAGACCAGTGTTAAAAAGAAGCTTCTTATGCTCTTAGGTGCTTGTAACACCTAAGTAGCAATTGTTAAAAATATTTTAGTGGTTACTGCTCTGCAGTGCAAAGTGTGTGTCTTATTCAACTGTTTCATACTTACTTCATAATCATTGTGATCTAGAAGCCAAAATCCTCGAATCAGTTTAACAAGACCCCAAGGGATAGCAAAGGCAGTTAGAAAGGAAACAAGTAAAGTTTCTGTTTTATTTGGAAAGAAATGGATGATATCCAGCAGCAAGTAAATTGTCTGAGAGTATCTAATTAAGGCGAATAAATTGCTAAGACCAAAAACTTGTATCACATTACACTTAGCAAAAGAATGAAATAAGAATAGGAAAGTCGTAGAAAGCAGAACATCCCAAGGTATTGATCTTGCCATTTTAAGCTATAAAAACCCATTATATCAATAGGCAGGTCCTGATCTCAAAACTGTATTCTGAATATACTTCCAGAAAGAAACACTTGAGGATTTCTGTAAGGCAATCAAAAAGGCAAATATTGGGTGTTTATATACTGCTCTTACAACCCCAGGCTTCTGCTTCTGTCAGTGAAGCTACCAGTTGGACAGGCAACACTCTTAAACATTCAATGCCTAATTATTAAAGAAAACAAGTTCTACAGCTGTTTATTCTCATTTCCTGTCTTCACAAAACCAACACAAATTATGGTGCCCTTACAATGTAACTTGGCACTGACTGCTGGAAACGGTGTTTAAAACTGCATGTGGATCCTGTCTGACTAAGGCAGCATGGGTTCACAACCATTTTTAACCCTTTGCTTTCCAGCCTCTCTTCTTCATTTAGCCAACAAACAACAAAGGAAAGTCTGCATGTTCCAGCAGCTTAAAAATTAGGCTTCAGCCCAATGACTGTTCTCAACCCCCTCTTTATTATTCTGTGTGCTTGTACTTTTTACACAAAAAAAAAGCAAACACTGTTAGCTGGGCTGGGAAACAAATCAGCAACTGGAAAACCACTGCTGTTACAAACCCTTCTGTTCTGAAGCAGCATATTTCAGGCACTGTTCTAATACACACTCCTTTGCTACAGAAAGGAGCGCTTTAAAAAATTAAAAACTATTACATTTTGGAAGAAACTAAGCAAGGTTTTTATCTTGAATATTTTAGGGAACCTGTTTGCTTGTATCAGAAAAGAATTTGCAAAAAACACATAGGTGACAAATATGTAAGAACATTATGTTGTTATTACTGAAGGAGAAATAAAATCTGGAAAGGATACAATTGCATGTTTGTTGCTTTCTTCAATGCTTTCTAGCAAATAGAGATCCAGCAGTGCCTGAAATGAAAGATGAAAAGGTTTTCTAATGCTCCTGTCTTCCACCATCATTGGCTTTAGGGGACTGCTGCTGCTGGGGTTTGCAGTGACCACAACACTCACATGTAAACTAACAGGTGGGTATTTCCCAGTGCTGCCTTCATCTCTCTGCCACAACTTCTCCACTTCCTCTCCCAGCTGGGAAACCATTCCATCAATCATCAAGCAATCAGAATCCCATTTGCCTCTGCAACAAAAGGGACCAAGGGCTTGCACAGAGTAAAACACTCATTCCAGCCTCTCAGTGTCACAGATTCTGGAGTCAGAGCAAAGATGGTCCTCAGCTCACAATAAACTTATTCATTAAGGAGTCCCAAGTACAAACCCAAGAGAAGAGTGCAATGACCTTTTGGGTTCCACTTTTGCTTTCATGCTCTGTTATGTGTAATGCCAAGGAGAGCAGACAAAGGGTTTTAACTGCAAAAATAACCACTCTCACACAGTCTAACAGTGGCAGCTTTCTAGAGCATTCCTCTAAGTCTTACCTTGACAAGCGCTCGAGTTTCTGTCGGTGACCCATATAGTAGCTCTGAATCAGAGGGTAATCGTAGAAAGGTCTGGACAAATGAATGTGATCATCTTGATCATCTTTAGGTGATAAAGTAAAAGCAAGTTAAATTAAGACCACATTTTTCAACTAAAATTTTGCTCTAGACAGACAGAAATCACACAACCTCAAGAAGCCTCCAACTCAAAGAATCCAATCCTGTTTCTGCCTTTGCTAAAGGAGAACTAAGACAAAACTACTACGGCTGCAAACTGCAGAACTACAACTACTTCTTCTCTCAAGATCAGTTTCAAGTTTGCTGGTGATGCTGCATTCAGACCACATCGGGTAAGCTCAAGGCTACTCCTAAATAAACCACTCTCAAAGGGAAGAACTTTTTGAACACGTGAGCATCTGTAAAATGATTAAAGCTGAAAATGGAATTTATAAGGTGTCTCAATTAAGAACATTTCCAACGTGCACTTTCACCTCAAGCAATAAATCAAAGGTTCAAAACATGCAGGTACTGCTTTTACTATCAAAATGAGTGTGCTGGTACTACAGGCTCTGTGCTTACCTAAACCTTCAGGAAGGAGACTGGATCGACAGAACCAGATCACCACTTGTGCATACAAAAAAATGAGGCTGGTTACCATCTGCTTATTTGTCAAGTCTGAAAAACCTGAAAAAAAGGCAAAACATTATTTGAGTTTTGCAATTCCTTTCATTTTACAAAACCCCCTTTGCAGAACAAACAGAAAGTATGAACAAACACAGTGGAAACCTGTCTTTGTAGTTGTCCCTCTGGATCACTTATGAATTTGAAGGAAAAACCACCATTCCAACCCCCACCAAAAAAAAACCCAGTCACTACAAAGAAACAGAACCACTAAGGATTGAAATTGAAAAATAAAGCCTAAACTATAAGATGTACTCAAGAAGACAACATTTGTTTTCCATATAGCAGAGATTTTTACTTTAGCAAAAGAGATTATAGTCCTCTTTTTCCCTCAAGATGCCAACAACAATTTTTAAAATCAGAAGCCAAAAAACCTCAAGGAAATTGCTTTACTCATTTTGGTTTCCTTTCTATTTCCCAGCAATTTGTACACAACTATCAATTGCTAGCTAACAATTAGGAACACTTCTCAGCATTACCACACTCAGCTGCTGCAATTGCTGCCCAGGTGATTACTCAGCTCAGTGCTGAACAAGTGTACCTGCTCCTACCCAGCCTCATGAACTCCACAACAAGCTGCTCCCCTGAACTCAAAGGGGCTTAAATCAAAGTCCCAACTGATCAGATTTAAACCCCTCCTCCCAGCTCAACCTGACTCTCTCCCAACCATCCAAAACAACAGCAGCTCCTGTCTCCACAGTTACAACCCCAGCATCCTTCCAAAAGTTAACAATCACACCAAAGGCCCAGCAGGGCTCTCACCAACCTTTCTCTGTAAGCTCTCGGGCTTCTGCTAGGAAACAGTTCAGGACTGTGCTGAGGTTGCTCAGCAGCAGCTGGCAGTGCTGGAGGGACTGCAATGTCTGCGGGTCAATGAAGTTGCAGGAGCCGTCAAACAGCGTAACACCTTGTCAAGGAGAAACATTGAATCAACACTCAGCACAGCAACTGCACACTTCCAAACTTCAACACTTCAACACCCACAAGAGACTTCAAGAACCACTTAAAGAACCAGTAGCAGACACTGGCAGAGTACTGAAGAAGATCCTTTACATAGAATGACTCAAGGTTTTAAAAACCAGACCACTACTCACATATTTGGTCCAGTTCATCTTTTGTACAGATCACTTTGTTCCACGTCCACTCAAGAATAAACCGTAAATTTACAGCAGAACTTGGCTGCTCTTTAAAAACAGAAAACAAAAAGGACATGAAGCCATGATTTCTAACCAAAACACACACACAACACAAGAACAGTGGAAGCAGCATTACCTTCAGAAGTCCAGTGTTTAATGCATCCTGTCAGAAGGTCTAAAGAGCCTGTCTGCACAGCAGCTGACAGCACTGCCTCCAACTGCTCCTCCTACACAGAACAGACAAAAGCAAATCACAACCTCACACACTTTTCCTCTCAGTCTCACCTTGATAAACACTGCACTTTCTGTTGGTGACCCATGTAGTAGCTCTGAATCAGACACTACCTGAGCCACTGACAGAAGTGTTTGCTGCTGACTGGTTACCCACTCAGACATCAGCTGCAAATGCTGCTAGTTCCATATTCTTGACTCTTTCCTCATTCTAGCCACAAGCTGGACTGCTGCTTGGTTTGAGGAACATAGGAACGTTTTCCTCTGACATTTCAACTTCATGCAGGCTAGTTTCAATCTCTATTTCTGTGCCTCAGGGTTTCAGTCTTCATTCACTGAGTCCCAGTTAACTATTTGCAGTAACATCCCCTGCTAACACCCATTATGCACTGTGGGCACACCCCTTTGCCATCAGGAACACGTGAAGGGAACAGAGCAAACACCACTGTGTTTGCATGGAGACAGTGAAGCTGAGGCCAAGCAGCTCCTGAGACCAGCAAGACAGGAAGCAGCTCTGACAGCCAAAACATTAGGTTTCAATTTGTCTAAGCACCATAAAAAATGGGAAACATTTCAGTTCTAATGGTCTGGAATTTCAGGCTGTTCAATTACTGTATTCTAATGCCATGGCAGTCCTTGAGAAGGATAATGCACAGGCATGCACACACATGGAAATAATGTAGCAGCTAATTCCAGCTGGTGTTCAGACATTTATGTCTGAAATGATCCTGCATAGAAATTGACATTTTTCTTTTTTTTCCTTGTCTCTCTTTTTTCTAAAACATATTCAAAAATATGTTTTCCTTCTAAGTTAAATTATTACATTCGAAGACATTTCTACACATTCTGTCATTTGAAAGCATGTGTGATACTTCCATCTTTTTCTGAAATCTGGTTTCAGACAAGGAAATATGCCCAATACTGCTTAGAGTGGCCAAGGAAATTCAAACCCAAGCTTCTTGACTTAATTCTGAAATTTCTCTTTCTAGCATCCAAAAGCAATCCCTCCTCAAATGCATAACAAGTCTCTGAACAATGTAGTCATAATTCAGGAAATGACATCATAAAACTTCTTGCTTTCCCAAGTTACTTCCCAACCAGAGCTGACATCAGAACATCTAATCAGAATATAAGAGCCTACGTCAGGCTTGCAAAATAAGCACTATGTGGGCTGGGTCAGCTTGCACAGAGGGTTCTTCCAAGTCAAATTCAGAGTTTGGGTCTAAGAATATTATTATTTCTGCTAAATAATGTCAACACCTGCCTCTTAGAATAACTTGCAAGTAAAATTCAGATGGTCATGTCTTGTAGCCTCTACAGCCTTCAGACAAGATGGATATATTTCCCCCTGGATTTTCCAGCATACACCCACCTGACTCAGACTGGATGGCTGGACATCAACCAGTCTTGGAGACAGCAAGCCAGCTACAAGACACCGAGAGTAGCTGTCACGGATGGCTTCACTTATTAAAGGACCAGATTTCTTCAAAAACTTCAGGGTCTGAAACATCAATCAAAACAGGTTAAGACAGCATTCAATCACAAAGGTTTTGCCTTAAAAACAACAGCCAAACTAATAGTTTCACTTTTTAAAAAAATACCCTGTAGAAGAAAATACCAACCCTTGCAATGCTAAAGGAAGCATTTTCTAGCCTCTCTATCAATACACAGGACTGGTATTTTCCCTGACACAACTTACATTTTGTAAAAGTTAAACCTAACACACAACTTTAAATCACACATCTGTGCTTGTTTGTGCCAAAGCTGAAATATTTAGTGAGCTAGAACTTAATTTGAAGGGGTTTGTCAAAAGCTGTGAAGTGGCTCAGAAATCAGAATTTGGTCAAGGTTGACAGAAAAAACATGCATTTCTTCCTCAACAGTTAAATCACTTTTCCCTCTCTCCATGCTCAAGTTCATCAGGGATCAAGACCCCACCTCCACACCATACAAAGAAGTAAACATTTCCCCAGCTTCCACCACACCCGTCCTTTCCAGCCATTCAATCCCTGCTCATGCCTCCCTACAACAGTGCCATCTGCATGAAACTGGCACGATAGGACTGCAGCTATGCCTGTGGATGGGCAGTGTGAGCATCAAGTGGTCTCTGACACCCAAAGCACTGCAAGAGAAAAGTTACCAAAGGTTCATCTCTTGACACTCTCAATACAGTAAAAAACGTCACCTCCTTCTGGAAGCCGGTGCAAGTCATGTGAACAACTCCCGAGCTGAGCAAGCACGTCACGTCTGCAGAAACAAGGAACGTTTGACAGACCCTGGCACCTCCTCACCAGTTCAGGCTTTATAAATAGTGCTGTCTGCAAAGACAAACCTCCAGCACCACTTTCCTTCCTCACATCACTTACACACATCCCATAAAAAGGAGTTACTCTCTGTCTCTAGAAACTTGAGTGCTACCCAGTGCTGTGCTTTGGGCCTCAGCTCAGAGGCTTTTCATTTTGGGACCACCACCCCTTCCCAGGCCATGTTACAGAAGCTCCAAAACCCAAAACTCAGCTGCCTGTCTGATATGTTTCACAAGACTAAGTGCCTTGCCAGGACACAGTAACCAGGTTGGAGAAGGTTTGTGGGGCTTTTTTTGGATTGGTTTTCATGTGACAAACAATGAACAAGAAAGAGAACCACTCAAGTGGCATTTCACCTCCACCAAAGCTTGCCACTTGATTCAAATGAAAAGCAGTGAAATACCTACCAAAATTATAGGTGCTTGGATTAAAGAACTGTTCAGGTGGTGGATAAGAAGGAGGAACTCCCCGACTCAGACTACGCTCGTGTACCAGAATATCCAAAATGAGGTTTGGAGAAGTCATGCTTATTACAGGATCCAGTGACCACAGGGCAAAATAGGGGCAATCATGAAGGAATTCTTCTGGCCTTAAAGAAAACAAGTGCATAAGCTCAATAGCAATTTTCAAATTAACCTTTTGTAGGGATATTGAAACATCTTAATTAAAACCTACCCTGGTGACTCTGGCATTTGGGCATGACACCAGCGATTGATGTCAAACACTCCCAAATGAACAGATGGTTTTTCTTGACCATAGGTATTCACTTGCCAACTGAAGATTGATACACTGGTGTTAGGAGAGATTACTGTCAAAAACAAGACATTGTTTCTTACTGTAGAAAATATGAGATATTTGCTGTTATTTCATTCATGAAGGACAGCATTTAGGAATGATAAAAAAATTTATAAAATAGCAACCATCTCTGCAATAGGTTTCAGTGCCTCTTTTTCTTATTCAAAATATATTAGTTTTAAGCAAAATCAAATACACAATTATTAATTAAGTTTTGCATACTGAATGAATAATTATTTGGGGGATTTGGGGTTTTTTAATGTGGTGAGGTGGTTTGTATTCAGTCAGCTGTCATGCAGGATACCTTGGTAGTTTTCCAGCTACTTTTTCCCAAGCCTGTAGCATTGCAAAAGGTGTTTGAAAGTCCTACAACTGGCCTTGGTCCATCAATCCAGCCTGTGCAGATCCCTCTGCAAAGCCTTCCTAACCTCCAATAGATCAACATTCTTGTTCATGATGATGTTGTCCCAGATTTACTGAGGGGGCACTCGATCCCCTCATTCAGATTATTGATGAAGATATTTCACAGGACTGGCTCCAGTTCTCAGCCCAGGGGAACTAGATTCATCGGATGCACACTGGATGCAGCCAGAGGCTTGAGCAGGATAAAAAACAATTCAGGTAACATTCCTAAGCAATAGAATGATCTTACTGTTCAATGCAGACAACTGGCAGAACAAACTGACTGACCACCCTTATACAGATGACCCCATACACTGCTCTAACATCCCAGCAAACATAAAATAAAGCCAACTTTCTCCCTTAAAAGATTATGTTCAGAGGGATAAGAAGTCTCATATAACTTAAGCATACAGGTTTTTCAATAAGCCCAACAAGGTCAGCTAGATGAATATTTTAGACTTTAGGACTGTGGGTACAGAACAGCATTCATTGCTCAGCTTTCCAAACCATGCAGTTCAGAATAACCAAGCAGGGACATCAGAACAGACCTTCATTAACGTTATCCTCTCTGTCAGCATGGTTGCAAAATTTTTCTATGGTCTGACATCTGAGGAATTTAGTATTGCTGGTCTGCCCTCTCCAGGGAAAGATTCCACCAGAGAGATCTAAACTGAAGAGCTTGACACAACATGTAAAATCCTGGGGGGAAAAAATTAAGAAGAGAGGAAAGGCAATTCTGAAATAACAATATACATTATATCCAAGTATGAACTAATGCAAATATCTGACATAATATGCTTATTTTACAGTACGTTTCCCATCAACAGGAATTACATCTGACATGCAAGAGAATTAAGCGTCAAGTCACAACAGGCAAGTTTTACTCTAAAGGCTTTTGCACATTTTCAGAATTTAGCATTTCCCTAACATTAGTCTACATCTAAACACGTTTTGTAGAATTCCTTGCATCATCAAAGTGCCTTTGCAAACCTGAACATATACTTACAAAGAGACATCTAAAACAATGCAACACATCTTCACACAAAGCCTCTGCTCCGTGTTTTGATTACAGAACCTGACATTAGAGCAGCTAAAGGTCTGTCCCGAGATGTTATTGATAGGCACATCAGTAGATTGAGCGCTCATCTCTCTATTAACAATGAGAACTTCCTAGAGATTTAAAACCTTCTTTTAAATCCCATGAGCTTTTATCAGGGAAATATCCCTCAATTCCTTATGGCGAGGACATGGGATAAACATGGACAATGTGTTTAAGATTTCGAATTACTACAGAGCAAGAAACTGCTTTGAGACACTCAGAAATAGATATACAGAAAGGATGGCCCTGAACCTCTGCCACCACCATTTTCTAAGGAAGCAATAAGTGAAATACTGTCTTTCCAGTACAGCCTTCATTTAACCTACCATAAAATATGTGTGTGTACTGTGGACAAATAGCAGCTCTACAATAAAAAAGCCCAACAAAACACCAAACTAAAAAAAAACCAGCAAAACCACTTCCAAGCAAAAAATGAGTTTCCAAAGCTTTCAAAGATAACTGGCATGAAACAACACATTCTCTTTCTATACATTTAATTCATTTAATCTGAGAAGAGACAAGCTTTCTCTTAATGGTTCCAGGAAATGCTACAAATGAATATCAAAGGTGTCTAAAATAAATGAATAAATTAAAAAGTTTTTCATTATTGAAAAGAAAAAATGGTAACATTTGTTCTAAAACATGCACATTCTATTCTATTTTATTCACAAATTTTGGAAATAACATATTCATATGCACAGTAATTAAGAAAAACTAAAACCATCTCTTTGAAAAACTAACATGAAGCCTAAGCAAAGAATCTCATCTTATAAAATGACTAATGATAAAATCAATTTTAATCAAAAATGCAGACCAGAACAAGATGTCCACTATACCAAGGGACAGTTCCATACGATAAAGCACTATAACTCCATAAACTCATCAAAATTCATTTTAATGACTAGAAATTTCAGCTGTCATTCATATACAAGGAGCCAACTTAACTGATACTCAGGGAAACTTTAGCTTTTAATCTCTCACATACAGGCCTGTCTTACCTCATACATGACTTCTCCTGATGCCAGACATTTCCTGCCACCAAATGCTAACTTCAAGAGATGTAAATTCACAGCATTCCCTTCACTGAAAAAGGTATAAATGAGGAGAGTTGATTACAAAGCTGCTTTACAATCCTCATTATCATTTTATTAGATCTAGGCTGGATTTAGACTGAAAGTGACTTAAGAGCATGCTCTTGCTGAAAAGAAAAACACTGCTTCCCACATGCTTCCCAATGCATGATAATTGCTCACACTTAGCCAGTAAAACAGAGGAGGAAATTTTTACACAAACAGCTTCAGGGGCAAATGCTAACTATGCCTTTGTTTAGAAAGCTTTAATATGCAGTATGGACCTAAAATTGTTGGAAATAGCTTTACACAGTAAACCATTCTCCATGAAAACTGCTTTGAAGTCAAGCTCAAGAAGACTGCCAGTTTATGAACAGCTGAGCTAAGTAGTTTGCTGATGCTGAGAGGTAGGGTTTTCCTCTTCCCACCTAAGTTCCAGTCCCTCTCTTGCATGCAGTGCACCCTTCTACACTCTCTTATTCCTTATTCCAGCTGGAAGCCATTGATTTGTTTGCTGAACACTGCTCCTTTTCTGCCAGGGAAGCTGAACTAGCACACAAGGACTCCAGAGATTTCTGAAGCTCTCATGGAGCAACCAGCAATACTGTCATTGTCCTCTTTCAGGGACAACTCTATGTGAACTAATATTAAAAAAAAAAAAAGCAAAATCAATGGCTTATTGTAATTTTTATTCACCTTTGTTGTGTAGACTGAACAGCCCATAAGTAGCAACAATTTTGAAGATCATTCTCAGGCTCTTGAAAAGTAAGAGCACAGACAGGAATCCTTTCTCCTCCAACCTGAGTGTAGTGCCTACAGGTTTGAAAAAAAAAATAGAAAAGACAAATAATGGGGGCAAGCAAGTGACTACCTTTTATGCAGCAATCAAGGTGAGGAGATTTCTGTCCATCAAAGCAATAACCTCTGTTTATGTCCTCCTCTGCCTGAGGAGGAGGAACAGAAATGATTGGTTCAGCTGCTAGAGAAAATACTGTTCCTATTTGAAGCCTACTTCAACATATTGAACTTATAATGCAGTAAATCTGAACATATTTTAAAAAACAGCAAACAGAAGGAGTTTCTCATTTCTTTATTGGGCATTGTAACAAACATTTTATTTCAGACTTCTGAACCTTAGTTGTACCTTCACAATCTTTTCCTGACGCCTAATTATGCCTCCACTATCTATTTATGTATCAGTAACTATGGCGAGTAACTGCACATTTGCTAAAGTAAACCCCTGTCTGAATTTTGCCACGTATTTAAAGTTACATTGCTTTTCAGCAGCTTTTAAATAATTTCTTAATTTTACTATTGTTTATAAATATATATGCTTCTTATTCTCATCTTCAAGGCTTCCAAGGAAAAATTGGTCCATGTACATCAATGCCTTGGAATAGGTCAGCCCCCTACTTGCATCAAGGCTGAAATGTAGGAAAGAATATGCTTTCAGGCACAGATCAGCTATTGAATTATCATGTCTCACTAGTTTCATCCTGGTCCCTTAAAAGATATATAATCACCAAAATCACATTATTCAGATACTGAAGCCTTTCAGTGCATGCTATCATTGCAATAACTGGTTCTAAAAAATAGTTTCTAAAACCTGTCTCATGGAAAAACACACATTGCCTTGTTTCCCTAAATATGACTGAACAGAACAAACTGACTTAGAAAAATAAGATCTCTCACATCCCTGCTGTCTGACATGACCCAGTACATTCCACAAGACCTCTATGAACAGGCACAGTAAGAAATCAATTGCAGTCCATGGAAGAGAAGGCACTGTACTTAATCCATGTATGAGTTAATACTTCAGAAGAGGATTTCTGAATACTCCAAGGTTATACCCAACCTCCCACTCACAGAAAAAGGGCTCTTGAAACTAATATATTTCCTGAAGCAAAAAATTGGGACTCCTGCACCACCAAGCATGCCAACGGGAAGTGACTACTTACGCCTTCTTCAAGGTTTTCATGTTCCCCAGCGACAAGTAGCCATCAGAAAATCCCACAACGAGCTGATTGCTTCTGCTTATGTAGCACAGGGTGGATACTGCTGTTCCTGAAGGACTTCGCAACTGAAAACAGAGATGCCTCCCTTCCCTGGTCACAGCTTCTCTTCTTTGGGGAACTTCAGCAGGAATTCTAGTGACAACTTCTAGATCTGAACACATAAAAGCATGTGAGAAATGAATGCATTTTGCCACTTCAATTGCATTTTAAACTGATGTGATTATACAACATGTATAATCTAATTCTGCAAATGGAATGCCCATTTGTGCAGCATCTTTGCTGGCTATTCCTGTTTCTGCACCCATTCAGAGAACAGAAGGACTCTCCAATGGGACAGGTATTCTCTCTCCTATTTCAAAACTGGGTACAAGTGTAACTATTGGAGACAAATTCCTTTATTTGGCCTCATGAGGAAGCTACTTGAAGGGATATGAACTCCTGAAGCCACTCTTACAACACCCAAAACAGTGTCTGCCATCTGAAAACACAAATTGCAGGATTCATTCACCCAAACGAAGGACTTTTGATAAGCCAGATTTATTGTAAAACACAAGCCTAAAGCCTGCTCCAAGCCATTGATGGGAACAGGAGAACACTCCCAAGGAATCTGGTACCCCTGACACAACTTCCTATCCCACAGCTGCACTGACTCAAATGGAAAAATTCCTACCTCCCACTGGCAAGAATCACAGGGAAAAAGGGATGTGGGCAGCAAGAGCCCTTCTGAACATCAGCAGGAGCATTAAGCCACTCCATTTCTGGATCAGTTCAGAGCCACACCATGTCAAACTGCTGTCTGCAGTCAGCAGTGGGCAGTGTCAGAAATGCCAGCAGTCACTCAGCACACTGGGATCTTCACTGGGACACAAGCTGGGTTTTGAAAGGAAACACATTCTCTTACTTCAAAACTCAAGTTTAAAAACTGCAGCTTACCTGATGCTTCTACTTCATTCTGACTGCAAGACAAATCATCCAAACAAAGGTCAACCAGAAGGACATGGCCAACATCCGTGGCCACCGCTGCCACTCCAAAGAGCCATCGCAGACTCTGGTGCAGGTGCCGCGTGCTCACGCTGGCTCCGCCGTCATTGCTGATGGGCTCGATGGCAGTCACCTGCAGGGAGCGGCACGGCAATGTCAGAGCCTGTGACAGCCCCAGGAGGAACCCTCAGAAGGGAAGCCAGCACCAGCACATCAGAAACAGGACAGGAAATACAGGTTCGTAAGACTTAAAACCAAATCATTGCTCCCTATTTTACCTGAATGATGCCCTTCTGCCTCATACAAACCAGGAAAATTTGGGAAAATACCACACAGAAGTCCTGAAAGATCCAATCACTATAAACCCACAAGGAAAATAATACCAGAAACATGGTGCTCCTTAGGGCCTTAAAACAAAAATGCAGAAAGGGGTGTTTAGAAAATGGCTCTCTTGGCGAGTACTCTGAACTGACAATATTCTAATACAATTCAGAAAAGACACAACCTTCAAAGAGAGGCTCCAAAGCTTTTCCTGAAACAGGATTATGCAGTACCAAACAACACAAAACCTTCATTTCCCCAAAAAGATACATACCCTTCCTGGAAGAGCAATTGCTTTAACCACTTTTGAGGTCCCAAGGTCGTACAGGCAGAGAACACTTCCCTCTGCTTCCTCCAAGCCAACCAGGAGCCCAGTCCTCTTCTGCCAGGAGAACTCCTTCACCACGCGGACGGCGGGAGGCTGCTCGCTGACCCCGCTGAAGCGATAGGCAGAGAGCCGCTCTCCTGTCACCGAGTTCACCACCTCCAGCTGGGGGCCACACGCCAGCCACGCCAGGCCACTCCTGCCTGCAGGGCAACACGAGCAGCGCTCACCAAGTGCCAGCAGCACAACTGCAACAACAGCCAGGCCACCGCGCCCTTCCCTCAAATGCCACAGAGGGAAAGGCCAACCCACCACACCTGGACAATCATTTTAAATCACCCACTGCAATCCTCAACCAACACTTCTTAAAATTAGTAACCCCATTCTTTTGCATTTGTACTTGACAGTCCTGCACTCAAGAACATTCACTCTTTGGGATAAAGGTTACAATAGACTGGGCTCTAGTCTGTACACCATAATTGGCCTGGTTTTGCTAAAGAACACCCAAATATGTACAGGAATACAAGTCTCAAAGCATACTTCAAATGCAGCCCATCTAAACCAATTCAGTTCCAGTTTAAGAATTTTGCTTGACACATGACTACTCTGGGCAGCGATTTGGACAGGAAATTCTCTTAAAATGGGCACTGCATATGTAATTCCAACTTTTACATGAGCTGATCCCAGAAAGAATTTAACAAGTGGTGTTTCACCAAAGAGTTTAACTCTTGCTCCTCTACTGAGGGACTTTAAGCTCAAAGGAAGGATGAGCTCCATTACAGCAACTACAGTCAGGTAGATAAGATTCTACCTGGTCTTCACAGAAGCCCAGACATCCAGACAGGCCTCCAGCCCTACCTTCAGATCACCTAGAAAGTCAACTGCCTAATCTGCTTAGCTGTTGTCAGCCACTCTCACTGGGTCCTCAATCTGCATCCTACTAAATACCTTGGAAACACATGAGCTGGTAAAAAGAAATTTGTCCCAAAACAACACGATTTCTTCCTTGAAAACTGCCTTCCATTTCATTCAGAACTCAGGAGGGCATGGTCAGCTATATTATTTAAATAGCACAGGACTGGAGCAGGCTGTTGCACTTTCAATGCTTCTAATTGTTAAAATATCCTGGTAGCACTGTCAGAACACCTGATCCATTTTTCTTAACAAAACCAACCTGATGCCATAACCCTGTGCTTCAGGCAACAACAACTTCACACCAAATCCAAATTTAAAGGAAAATGCAAAAATGCTCACCTCCAGAAAACTTCCCACACAGCACAGAGTCTAGGGTGATCTCATCCTCCCCAAGTGCCTCAACAGTCACCTCTGGAAACTGCAGCAGACTGCTCGTTACCTGAGCTGTTAGGTCTCGCATTCTTCACTGGAGATAAAGAAAAAAAGGCAAAGAGACTCATGTCAGCCATAAATATCTTTGAGACTGACCCAAGCTTCATCAGTATGCAGTGACAAATCTCCCATGCATTGTTTGTAGCTCATTATTGCTCAAAAGAAATGGCACTTGGGACAGTTTTTCATCTCACAGCAGAGCATGAGGAGAATCTTGAGCTTTTCTGATACCTATGAGATCAAGAAAAAGTACACAGAGGGATGAACAAGATAAATAACAGGGAATAGAACAACACACCGATTTCAAGTCCACTCATACATTTTAGCAAGATTTGATCTCAGAAAAATAATATTTAAAAAAGTTTATGATTGGCAGGAAGCATAAACCTATAGCAGAAGATAAGAATTAGAAAGGATTTCAGCACTCTATCCCAATAGATCCCAACAGCTAAGATTCTGTATTAGATGCAGACCAAAGGTTTGATTTTCCTTTAAGTGAGGAAACAAAACCAGCACAAATCAGAATTGGACATTAGGGTAAATTTACCCAGCTATCTGCTGTGGCTCTTGTCTGACACAACTCTGGTTTCATTCAAGAGTTGCAGCCTGTCTAACAGGGCTAAGCAAGCAATAGATCCTAAAGTCTGTGCTGAGTCAATGCTTGTCTCTACACTGCTTCCTTTACCTGGACAGACAGACATAGGTGCCTAGGGGCTCAGTACAGAACACAGCAGTGAAGTATTTCACTGCTCCCAGCACAAGTTCTACAATCTTGGCTTTACAACAGAATTCTAGAATGGCCTTCTGGACCCACTGGCAGCCATCTCATCCAACCTGAGCTGTTCGTCCAAGCCCTGCTGCTCAAGCCACCACCTAGAGCAGGCTGCCCAAGGCTGAATCCAGGTGGAATTGGAACATTTAATTCTCCAACAGGTTTTTACAATCAGCAACCTGACAAGAACAACTGCAGCAACACCTGCAACCCATGCAACAGGGCCTGGTGTTCGCTGACTCTCTCCTGCCAGTTTAAGGATTCTGTTCTCTCCACCACACCAGCAAACCAGCGCCACACCAGGAAAGGCCTGTCACCACTGTTTGTCCAAAACGACATCGGACACCTTAACTCCCAGAGCAGCCAGGCAGGCAGTCCTTGGCTGCCAGCAGCAGGGCCGCCTGCAGGAGCGCCGCAGCCCGGCTAAGCCGCGGCCACGCCGTTGTCAGGGCCGCGCCGAGCGCACGCCCCGCCTCCACCGGCAGGGCCTGCCCGGGCAGCTGGGCCGGCTGCTCCCAGAAACAACGTATCCATCCATCCGTCCATCCATCCCCGGCACCGGGAGCCACCACGGAAAGGGGATACTGAACTTTGGGAGAGCATCCAGAGGAGGGCAAGGAAGATGGGATTAGGGGGAAACTGTATGAGGAGTGGCTGAAGTTTCGTGGTCTGTTCAGCCTCAGGAGGCTGAGGGAGACCCCATTGCAGTTACACCTTCCTTGTGAGGGAAGAGGAGGCGCAGGCACTGATCCCCTCTCTGTGGTGCCCAGTGACGGGAACTGAGAGAATGGCCTGAAGTGTCAGGGAGGTTTAGGCTGGGTATTAGGAAAAGGTTCTTCACCCAGAGTGGCCGGGCACTGAACAGCTCCCCAAGGACGCGGTCACAGCGCAGCCTGACAAAATTCAAGAAATGCTGGCCAATGCTCTGAGGCACATGGTGGGTTTAGGGCCAGAAGTTGGACTTCAATGATCTTTGTGGGTCCCTTCCAACTCAGTTTATTCTGTGATTCTGGGTGAGAGCAGGTGCTACATTTTGGTGTTCAGTTCCAGGATGACAGAAATGTAGGTAACACTACATAACACTTCAAACCTATGAACATTAGACTCGTGCATTATGCTTAGGTGAATGTTAATAAGGAGAGATAAAAAACCAGACCAGTCTACAACAGTGAATTAGTGAACACTGATTTTAGTTGCTTCTTTGAGTAAGATCTTACCTGGCCCATGTAACTGTTGGGTCCTGCTGAGAAGAGCACACTGTTCTTGTCCTTTAAGGAAGACACCGAGGTCGGAAGCCAGAACAGGTCAGGTCAAAAGCAAAGGTTTTTCAGTGCCCTGGACTCCTGGGATCATATATGCTTGTGCTGTTGCTTTTCACAGAAATCACACACCCACCTCCTGCATCCTGTTTTTAAAATCCCAGTTGCAATATCAAAACACAAGCAAGCAGTCATTCACTAATAATTCATATTTCAATTCAGGTTTAAACCAAGTTCTGCAGAAATGCACAGCACATCAAGGCCTGCTGTGAGTCATGACACAGCCAGGGAGGAACTTACCTGAACAGTCACATCACTAACCATAACTTGCATTTTTCACTCTACCTCACATATTGGTCATCCACACAGCCCAGTGCTGGAAAACGCATTTTATTTAAGGAACAACTTTAATTCCACAGGAACTACAGAACATTTATCTTTAAGCACATCAAAGGGACTCATTATCTTATCGTTATCTTGACTACTTCGGTGAAAAAAGCATTCCTGGAATGGAAACCCTGAATCTTGCACAGAAGACAAAAGTACGAAGAAACAAGCTTTGTCCTATTACCTAAATTTCTATTATTTCAGTATTTTCAGATTGGCCTAGACTAACTGGTTGCAAGCATTGCCTAACTACTCATGAGAACCTGTAGGTTGTTTTCTGCTATAGCTTTCTTTTCCCCCCCACCAGAAATCAACAACTTTGCTATATATTAGTTACATGGGAAGTAATGAAATTGCAGCAAACAAATTTATTGCACTGACAACCCTGAGAGTAGCCTTTGATGAGAAGAAGTTCTGATGGGGGAATAAATAGTTATCTGTGCCCTTATTTGCACACTGGACGTGCAAATATTAAGGCAAATAAAGTCAACATGAATCAATTAGTACTTCAAGCACTCAGTGCCTATTGAAAGTAAAATAGATTTAACTCTCCCTCATGTTAGAACATAGAACAAATACTTTCACCAGCCTTAGCTTATGAATATTCGAAGAAAAGAAAGTTTGTGAGGTAACTCAAAAGAATAATTTCCACTGTAACATTTCTTTTCTTACAAAATACCTTCCAACAGCCCTAATGTTATTCATACTCCTGTCACTAATATCTCCTGCTGTGTGCTTCCTGGAAGTAAAATCTGCCATTGCACTGCATTTTATTCTTCCTGAAAGCTAAGATTCTGCTGTCCCAAGGTGGTCAACCTTCTAGAGGAGTTTTCTTTGGGGTTACACCCCAAAGGTACAGATGCACAATCTGGCTTCAGCTTTTAGCCATCCAGCACTTTTTAGGGGATAAAAACATTAGGGAATCAAGGAATTACTTCCCTTTCTACAGGAAACCTTCAGAATATTCTATTTAGCAATGAGCTGTAGCTCCTGTGAAATTCCCACCTTGTTTGCTGGAAAATCTCATTTCTATGCCCCCCAGAGCCTTCTGCATCCATCCGCCACCACAATGCATCCCACCTCCTCTCACAGGTCCCTCCTGCCCTTCTCTGGCGCTACTGCTCTCTCCCTCTCAGATCCATGTGCAAACAGCTGCAAATCTTTTTCACTCATCCTTCACATATGTAGCAAGCCTACACAGAGAGCACCTACATAAAGTCTATTTTCTCCACTCCGTTATAAACCCATCCTTGAGCTGGTGCCTTAACACTGTTCCCCAGCTTCTTCCTTTTCTCAGCCCCTAAACAGAGTCACAGTGTCTGGTTTTGCTTCCATTTCCTTCTATGTCCCTCAAATTTCTGTGCCCACTCCTTGTTACATATTATGCTGAGGCTCCTTTTTAAACTGTTCCTTGGGGAAACTGGTCTGCACTGGAGAACTGTGCACCAAATCCAAGTTACAACAAAAGAGACAAAACAGTAAAACATTTCAACACATAATTAAAACTCCTTTGAAGTACAAAATTACTAGAAAAATACAAACCTTTAGGAAGTTATTAAATCTATTGCCAATTGTCTTTTGCTGTTACTTGCTTTCTTCCTAAGCACAGACAAATATTTTAGCTGAGGTGTAAATAAAATAGACGCTAAAAACTAATAAAATCAGCTAATGCTATATTTTCATTTTTCTAAATAATTTTCATACAAAAAATATACATATATAAGGATAAATTACAGAAATGCATCAAAACCCTATTAAGCAATCTTCACTAGCATTTCATCAGTCAATTCAATTTGACAACAATCAGAGTATTTTATAAATACTCTTGCACGCTACAAAAAGAAGTCAGATTTGTCATCTCTATTCTATTCCAATATTGAAAATTTGACCTTTTACCCCATTTTGAGCTACTGACTGCACTTCTGAGAAATATGAATATAAAAATTGCTAAACTTCCCTCCCCTTTCCTCTTTGACCATATTTATAGTCACTCATGTACAAAGTAAACAGAAAAAATAATTACTAACTTGACTCAAAGGTCTCAATTTACTGCCACTTTCACATTTTTAACTTTTGACTCTTTTTTAAGCTTTCATTCAGTCATGAATACTTCCCCAAGGAGAAAAATATTCAAGTGCATGCAATTGCTTCTCTAGAAAGATCTGTTCTGAGACAGAAAAATCACAGCCCCAGAGCAATCTTCTTTTACAAGCTTAGTCTATAATTAATACATTCATTCACTATGTACAAGATATTAGTTAATAAATAACTTATGTCTTGAATAACTGTAGTAGTTTTTACTAATTGAAAAGTTTAATATCAGGTTCCACCATTCTGTAGTCTTCAAAGTTGCATCCATATATAAATTAACATACAGAAAAATAATCCATTGTCTAAAAGACTGCACATCAAAATAGTACTTCCATGTCTGCTTTTAAAAGAATAGGTTTGTGACTTTATTTATACAAATTGAAACTTCATAGGGACATATACTTCTTAACCCAACACTGTTAATGAAATAAGTATTCAAAAATACGGTTTCTAACTAAGATTTCTGTACATTTTTGTACCTTTTTCAGACTATTATATAGGCTTTACCATCAGATTTTCAGTGCTGTGATATGCAAGTTTCAAATACTGTAAAGCATGTTTACAGACAGTAAGCATTTCAATTATAGTAGCAGTCATATTATGAAAATAATTTTGGCTCAAATTTCAAAGTATCTGGGTAGTATCCCTTTAAATCTGATATGCTATTGTAAGCATCAAACCAAGCATCTGACAACAGATTTTAAGAAATAATGACACATCTGAGGTGTGATCTGGTTTTATGAACTAAAGAGCAGCTTTCCCAAAGTTTAAGACAAATACAAAAAAAATATATTGCACAGCTTAAAACACAATTGTTTACATTCTGACTTCAATACAGTACAACTTAACCGTGAATGTAAAGAATTACCAGTTTGTATTGTAAGTCCAATTATTTGTTCCAGAAGGTCAAATGTAATTTTAAAATTAAAACTAGTATATTTAAAATGTTTACTTGTTACAGGAATTCTAAAAAAATTTTTAAAAGCTTTTGGAATCACTTTTGGGAGTCTGTAACTCCCACAAACCAACATTAAAAGTTCTGAGCAATACAGGTCATTCAACCCAATATTCCCTCAAAAAGCTATCAGACAGTAAGCACATTGTGAAGTATACATTTTTATTTAACATTCCTAAAATAAGCTGTATTTACATATTATATAAATGTATGAAGTCTTAATATAAAATAGAAAACTGCATTGACTGAGGAAATCACACTCCATATGGAGTTACTTACTGAAGACCATTTTTTATGAAATTTTACAATAATTTATATAAATTATCTCTTCCAAATTAGATGATTTTTCTTCTTTTTACTAATTCACACAATTTTGATGACTTTACAAACAGTGGTGTACATTATAAACTTAAAAAAAAAACAGTTACAGCATCTTCCGGCGCACAACTGGCTTTGGAAAATTAGACAGTCTTTTTTTGTTCTTTCTTAGGGTCTTCCCTGCTGCATCTGTAGTTTCTTTCTGCTTGGTTTTTGTTCCATCCACTGGACTTCCAAAAGGAGAGATGAATTTTATTTCAACTGGTGGAGGTGACCAAGAATCTTTTGTGGTTCTAAAAAGACGGACAGGCATCAAATCAATTTTTTAGTACTAACAGCATTTAATCGAGGAAAAAAAATTACACGGAATTCCAAAATCAATTAAAAAAATAAATGCATTCTCTTTGTAGATAGAATTAAGGTAAAAAAGGTACATAAATCAGGTTTGTTTGGCTTCCACATTCCCTTTATTCCTTGTCTGGCCATCTCCCACCTTGTATGAGAAGCCAAACTGGAAGAGTGTGAGTTCATAAGGTGGAACAAGACAATGAAAGAGCATTGCAATGTCATCCCTGCAATTAGTATCCACCTGCCCTTTTCTATTCCCTCCCTCTTCCATGTCCATTAGCAAACCATACCCATGAATGGGGAAAGGTGCCTATTAGACCAGCAGGCTGAGCTGGACAGGTTGATGGAGTGAGAGAAAACCTGCACAGCCAAGTGAGGAAGAAGTAGTTAGGCACTTAACAGCCGAGTCACCATCACATTACGAAATGCAAATAACTGTTCAAAACTTATTTCATACTTGCTTCCTTTCTTCATTTCTGATTTTGGAGTTCTACCTCTCTTCAATTTTTGCTTTACCCCGGCCTCTATGGATTTGGTATCCTCTTCCTCTTTAGCTGGAAGCTCCTATGTTAAAACAACAAAAATGTTACTCATGAACAAGTTCTTAGATGTCTATGGAATAATAATTTTTTTTCATTACAAAATCATGCCAAAGTTATTCCCAAAAGTACCCTTTGTTTGCAAAAACAAACCTTCCACATCAAATTATTTTACCATCCTAAAAGTTAAAATTCTGAAATTAACAGATAACATACAAAGCAAGTTTAAAGAGAGCCACTGTGCCTTTTGCTAAAAGCAAAACAGTATTTATCAATTCTTGATTTACATAGATTCAAAACTGACTTTCGTAGCTAGTTTTCATGAAGAAAATCAATAAAATTTTTAGCTGATTCATTTAAAGCTCTTTTTAGAAATGCTTCCAATGAAAAGGGCAAAGCATGATCTCAAAAAAATGGTACAGAATTAAATCAAGAACATGGGACAACTGGACTTTTTACTTACTGCTTCTTTCACAATTCGGGAAATGCTAGCTACAGTTTTTCTCCTTGACCTCAAAAGAGGGGGTGAAAAGACAAATTGAGAAGACAAATCCGGGTCCAAATCCTGGAACTGCACAGGATGGTCTGTTTTTCCAGCTAAAATGACAATGCATTGTTAGCATGCACATACATTATACATGAGGGACAGTATACAGCTGACAAATAAGAGGACAATAGCTTCCCAAAATAAAGGTTCAATCAGCTTTATAAACACTCCATGCACAGGCATTTTCCCCCCAGTAACTGCCTCTTGGGATTCATTCTTTTACCACAAAAATTGTGAAACAAAACTAAGCCAATGTAGTGATTTTACCAGCACCTACAATAATATAATAATCAGGTATTATACTCCAGAGGCATCAACAATCCTTAGGTATTAAAAAAAAAAATTATCATGTACTCTAATTAAGAAACTCCTGGGTACAGTAATTTCACTGACAAAGTATACACTCATGAAAAAGAATCACATAATTAAACAACTGTACAGTTTGTTGGAAGATGCACCTCATCTGAACTTGAAAACTGAACAGAATTCGGAAACACACATCCTTTATATCTCTGTTGGGGGGGAAGGGGTGGCAATCACATATTCACAAATAATCTCTGGTTTTCAAAATGTGACCGAAATCAAGTTCCTAACAAAAATATAGCTTAAATTTAATTTCATGGCTTAGATCAGCTTCATAATCTATTTCTACCAGAACTAAGCAGGCAGTCACACAGACTTCAGCCAAAAGGTGAACTGCCTCTTGGCAAATTTTTCTTTCGCATGCTTACATTTTTTACAATACTTAAAGCCATCCTCACAGTTTGTTTTCAGTGGTTTAAAGAAGAGGCTATGCCCTCTTTTGCATATAAACACAGTGCACCTACCTTCAAATTTCTTTGTCAGCTTTGTGAGAGGAGGAGAGAAAAGGAAAGCCTCATTTTCCTCAACAGCCAGTTTCTGATGGATGGCAGTCCTGCGGGATCTGGTCCTCGTAACCCGATCTGTCAGAGCTCTGGATGTCTGATCTTGTCCTGAGGGATTTATGTCTTCCAGCAGCAAAGGACTGCCCCCAGGTCCCTGGGGGGTCTCTACTGACACTGATCTCCTCTTCCTGCCCCGCTGCCCTGTCCTCACTGTAGTCCTGGGTGTGGCTGGCTCCTCACTTGGCTCTGCAGGAGTTTGTTCATGAGTATCCACTTTTTCTGGGTTCTCTGGTGGCACTCTCCTAGTTTTTCTCTTAGGAGTATGAAGGGCTTCTACCTTCACACCTGAATGTATGTCTTCCTGAGAAGAGGCAGATTCTTGGTCTGCCACGACATTTTGTGCCGCCTTCCTAGCACTTCTTCTAGGTGTGACAGGAAGTTTAAATTCTGTTTGAGGAACAGATGATTTAGACACATCAAGATCAGAATTTTCTGAAACTTCTGATGAACTAATCTTTCTTCTTCTGCCTCTTTTACTTGGCACTGGTAAAAGGAGTTGGTCACTAAGCTGCACCTGTTGATCCTTGACAGTATCTTCAGTAAACTGTAAACTAAAGCTTTTCATCTTTCTGGCACTTCTACTGGGACTGACGGCTGATTTTACTTGATGATCAGTATCAGTCTTGCCAGTTTCTGGACTTCCACCTAAACTTTTTCCTCCTTTAGTCCTTCTGGAAGTGAAAGAAGCAGTAATGCTGCCTTCAGCAAGAGGCATTTCCTCATTAGGCTGTTCTTGGAGTTCAGATGCAGCTTCCTTTGCTCTCCTTAATCCTCTCCTGGGAGTAACAGGCCGTGTACTGTCAGACAAGGTTTGTCCATCAGAAAGGCTGCTCTCTGTTTTTTCTAAATTGGACAGTTTAGGTTTCCTACCTCTCCTAGGAGTAACAGGTGTCACAGGTGTTTGCTCCTCTTGAACATTTTCCTCTGTCTGGAGCCTGGGAGTCTGAGGGGCTTCTTTTGTTAGCCTGGTACTTCTCCGAGGAGACAGGCCAAGCAGAGCAGGGCTGTCTGTCTTCAGCAGCTGCTGAGTGTCTGCTGACAGAACACCCAGACCTCTACCCAGCCGTCCCCTTGTGCGTGTTCGTGGAGCAGTGCCATAATGGTGTCTGCTGGTTTCCTCTCCCACTGCTTCTAGCACAGGTGTTAAAGGAGCTTTTGCCTTCTGGAATCTAGTTACCTTTTTACCTATGGTTTCATGGATTGATTGTTCTACAACTTCAGATGTAAATTCTTTACTTCTCGTGTCCTTGATTACATCCAGTAAGTTCTCAGCAATGGCAACCTTAATAGGTTCAGGCACATATGGGAGTGACTCTGCAATATTTTGAGATTCCTGATCACCAGTTACAGTGGACACTGAGTTTGTAACATGTTCCTGGCTTTCAGAATTTCCTAAACTGGTCACAGGCTTTTCTTCTTTTGTTGTGTCATCTGGTTTAGAAGCATCTGCTGATGTAGGGTCTCCCATTTCTGCTTCCCCTTCTTCTCCTTCCAAAACTAAGGTAAAATTATTCTGAGATAGAAAAAGGTCGCCATCTCCCTCAGCTGCATCACATTCACTATCTTTGTTATCAGGCAAATCACATGCAAACTGTTGCTCTATATTTTCATAGCTATAATGAAGAACATTTGATGGATCTAGCTCACTATATGGTGATGTTTCAGGTGCTGGTTCTGAGGTATCTTCTATAACCTAAAGTCAAAAAATGTCTGTTAATACTTTATTCAATACCAAACAGACTAATTTCACACTGAGCTAGATGAAACTGAGCACAGTTCCCTTAAGACCATCCCTGAATGTGAAACAATGTGCTTTTGTACTCCAGCTGAGAGTTTATGTACTTGAGGCACAAGGATGAGAGCAGTCCCTGTGTGCAATTCACATGCTCTGTTTCTGATATTTCTCTCCAGAACTGACCATTTGCCACTGCCCATGACCAGGAGCAGTTTTCCAGCACAAGGTGTGTACACAGCCAGGGGTGCCCATTGCATTGCAGCGCCCTCTGGCTGTGGAGCAGAGCAGAGTGACCCACTGCCTCTGACAGGGTAAAATACAATTGGGTACCCAATGCTTAAAGATTCAGTCATGATAGTTCTGACAGTAGCACTTACACTGGCCAGGTACCACATCCAACAACTCAACACTGCGCTTTGAGGCGTCATTTTGATTGCATGAGATAACACATAGCTACTAAATACCTCCACCTCTTGACACCAAAATGCACTCATTACTGGGAATTCTGTGTGTTAAGAAGGAACAAATGACCTAAGCACCTAAATAATTCTGAGTTTGGTTCCCACATCTTTTTGTCCTTTGGTAACTGGTTACCAGTACAAAGCAGCTGCACTCCTGTAACTTTCTCACTGTCTTTAACATTAAAACTATTTTTAAGTAAAATAAAGTTTGAATTCAAGTAAATCAAATGAATGCCTAGCTGGTTTCAAAAATAGTTTAGGCTTTTATTTTTGTTTTGTTTGCAATTTGCTCTCAAAGGCCTAAGTCTTGACAGGTCCCATTCATGTTATAGGAACAGAGAATGCAGAAGAGAAAAACATATCTGCTCTTACAACACTGAGATTTTTAACTTGTGTTAAGCAGCTCAAGAAACAGACACATTTTTGAGTGCCTCCAAATTGTCAATAGTACAGGCCTCAATTTGCAAACCGTTCTATTGTGTGGAAAATGGGAAAATAGCTTACTTACATTAATTTCCTCAGTTTTTGGAGGATTGCTAGAAACAGGGACTTCTTCGGCTTCAGCTGCTTCAGGGTTACATTCTTCAGCTAAATCCACACCCTTGCCCTCAAGGCGATTTTGAGACGGAGCACTGACCATGTCCTCACTGTCAAGGATACTTATCACAGCTAGAAGAGATTTATGGAATTTTATCTTAACCTTTATATAAATGATCTAAGTTTAAGCAAAGAGAAGTAACAGAGCTAGCAAGAGCAAACAATATGGTTCTCCATCCTGCCACATATATATTGGGCTTTCTCCAAAAGCTAAAACTATTGTGCTAGTTTTGGCTAGGATAGTCATTTTCTTCATAGTAGCTGGTACTGCTCTATTCTGAATTTGTGCTGAAGGCAGTGTTGTTAACAGGGATGTTTTAGTTACTGCTGAGCAGCACCTACACAGAGCCAAGGCCTTTCCTGCTTCTCACACCATGCCAGCAGTGAATGGGCTGGGGGTGCACAAGAGATGGGAGGGGACACAGCCAGGACAGCTGATCCCAACTGACATCCCATGAAATATGGCATCATGTTCAGCATAAAAGGCAGGTGAAAGAAGGAAGAAGCAGGAGACATTAGAAGTTATGGTGTTTGTCTTCCTTGCCATGACCCATTTTCCTGCTTTCCTGGAGACGGTTGAACACCTGCCCAACAATCGGAAGCAGTGAATGAATTCCTTGTTTTGCCTGACTTGCATGCAAGACTTTTGCTTTCCTTATTAAGCTGTCTTTATCTCAACCCAGGAGTTTTTTCACCTTTAGCTCTCTGATTCTCCTCCCCTTTCACCCAGGGGAAATGAGTGAGTGGCTGTGTGGGGCTTAGTTGTCGACTGGGTCTAAACTGTGACAACTACAGTTAAGGTAAAGGATGCAGCCCCACAGCAAGGAAGAAAGAGGAGAAAATCAGTTGTCAAGCCCGTGGAGGGGAAAAAAAAGAGGAAAATGTGGCTGGAAGACAGTTGCTTGAGTCTGAATACTGAGGATGCATCATCTTTTAAAATAGTAAATCAAGCAGCACATCCAAGGGCACATAAATTGGTAGTGGTGTACAACACTAAAATAAATACTGATGTCTCCTTATAATACTTTAAGTTCTACCAGCATCTCAATATTTTGATCAAGAATGAAAAGATTCACTATGCACTTTCTCCAAGGACTTTCTTTAAGGAGGGTGTTCTCTCTACAGTTTAATGAAAGTTAGCAGTAACATGCTACTACTACTTCTATCTGAGACACCTACAGTGGTATGGCAAACTACACATTTCACTTGAGGAGCTCTGCTACCCTACCACACAGAACATTTCCAACATACATTCACTGTCAGCCTCCGGGGATTCAGCGAGCTGTGGGTTTGTTGCAACCACTATGGCTTTTTCTTCTGATGAAGAGGTCATTTCAGACTCCTGGTAGGTTGTTGCACTTCATGAAAAGAGAGAAATTCATCATAAAGCTTGAAAACATACCTTTAAGAGCTTTACAAATTACTTTCTCACTGTAAATCTTCAAGTTTCAAATCACAAAAAAATACAAGAAAAATTAGGAATTCCTCTATCAACATAAATCAATTTGTGACTCAATTTGTAATTCACTTTGCAACTCATTTTATGCAATCAATCAAGTACTTAACATTCTTTCCAGCAATCCAACACTAGATAATAATGTAACAGAGGTGCATTACAGAATAATGTATTATTTGTCTTCTACAGAAAGAAGGCAACTACAAAAAGAGGTTCAGAAACAACTGAACATAAGTCTGTACAGGTGAAAGTTACCACTTGAAATTAAAGGTTCTCTCATTGCTGACATTCTTTATCACTCAGCAGCTGCAGCTTTTAAAGTACCTGGTGAGAAAACGGCTTCCCTTTCAATAAACAAATAGATGCTAGTTGAGCACACACAGAAAACAAAAAATAAGTAAAAATACTGTCAGAAAGCATTCAAACTCCAAAATAAACCCACTGGAGTTACAGGAATCTCAGGATTCATTTTTAGCTACACAATTTTCAGAAAAAAAATTCCATGGCTTATGTTCAGAGCATCTGCTTAGTAACTCTCTCAAGGTCTGTAGGGGACTGTTGAATGAAGTCTTTATCATCGTACTTTGTGGTCTGCAATGATTTGAGGAAAAAGGCTGAAACTGACAGCTAGTCAATATGTATGACATTCATGTCAGATTACTTTTGGTCACAGACAGATGGAATAGACAAGCCCTTACATACAAGAACACAGGAAGAACTAATCCCAGGTCAAAAACAGCTTTCAAACACAGAAAAACCAGCAGCTGTATGTTGTGTGAACCCAAAGATGTATCTACTTCATAAGCTCACCCTTCATTTCCAGCCCCAGAAGTTGCAGCCTCAGCAGCTTTAAACACTGGCTTATACTCAGGAAGGGTCTGATATTCAGCATTTGATTCTTCTACAAATCCTACAAAATGAAGAGACAGATGACTTCCTGTTGCATTCAACATCACTTCTTTTTAACTGCTCATATGAGTTTAAAGTGATCCTTTATGCATGTCATCTAGGGTAGGGACTTAACAAAATAATGCTACCAAGACTTCAAGTGCAAAGATGGCCTGTGTTCTTTCCAGTAGAACAAGAAGCCTGATGAATAACTTCAATCAAACAACGTAAAAATTCCTGCAAATTATAGAAGTATGCCTAAAACATAACCAGAAGCCAAAGTTTTAAACGTGTATCCTTTCCAAAACTCCCACACGTTGCCTTTCAGCTGCAACTGCACAAAAAAAAATGTCAGCCAAGGAAAGCACACATTCATAAGGTCCACGACACCAAAAAAAGAACTTAAAATACAGAGGTCATTTTAAAAGCCTAGAGCAGTTGAAAAGTCATAATTAATTGCTGCACTCTTCAGTAATTCAATATTTTGAAGACATTTAAAAAATTCAGAAACTTAGGTTATCACATGATGAAAACATACCTGCTTCTTTTCTTTGCCCTGAAGGATCTGGTTGTTCTATCTGGAAAGGTTTATCTTCAACCATTTCATGTTCTTCCTCCTTCTCCAATTCTTGAACATCAACAGTTGCTTCAGAGGAAGAATTAGCTGGTTTAGCAGATATAAAGATGACATCATCTTCAAAATCACCAGGTGACTGTGCATCATGATACTCCAAAGTAGTCTGGTCTGATCTGACAGAGAAGTTACTATTTTCCTTGCTGACATCCATCTTCTCCAAATCATCTCCAGCCATGCTTTCTAAAGACTCCTGCAATTCAGCACGATCTTCCCCAGGACTGCTCAGAGTAAACAGAGTTGGTTTAGTTCTGCTTTCAGACCAAGCATCCTCTACCAAGCCTTGATGCTGCTCAGATGAAGTTCCAAATAGTGCTTTATCATCTTCTGTCACCTAAAATAAAAGTTCAGATCAGCAACATGAGTCTCCTTGTTCTCAAAGCAAACCAAAAAAACCCAACAAATACTGATATTTTTAAGTTCCACACATCCCCTTCATGAACCAATGCAAAATTAATTCTCATTCTAGCATTATCTTAGATTTAAGGCTGAGTGTAAAAATTATTACACTTTAGACTGCTTATTGAGTTTCCATGACACTGAAGAATTAAGATTAAATCAGTCTTGCTCACAATGCCATCTGAAGGCTCTTCACTGGGTTTACTAGTGTGTTTTCAGGAAGACAAAGCTTTGCCTAGTAAAACCCTAGCTCAAGATTTCTCTATTTTATGGTTGCCCTTTCAACAAAGACCTGTGCACGACTAAAACGTGCTGGTGTTCAGCTATGCCTGTGGCACGGAACAAGCAAATTAATCTGGCCACAGTGCCACTATTAGTAAGAATTTCATACAGGAGAGAGTACATCTTGTTACAATTGAGCAGCTCCTTGTAACATACTGCTCACACATGGGATAGCAGCACATGCCCTTCTTCTGCCCCCCATTTGGGCACATTATGCTGGCAACTGGCTGATGGGCTGAACCACAGAATCCAGCTGCACAGATGCAGGAGCAGAAGGGACCACAGCTGGTCAAGATGGAACCACTGCATTTGAAAACTACACGGATACTATTCGTGGTGCAGGGCAAGAAGCAAACCCGAGAACTTTAGGCCTGAGAGAACAAAACACTACAGTTCTCTTCATCAGGAGTCTCTTTTCACCATCGTTTAAGTAAATCCAACGTTGCAAAATGACAGGCTGAGAGTCAATGCATCTTTATGACTTTTGTTACTTTCCCAGATATTCAACTTACAAAATTTAACAAACCCAAACAAGAGGCTCCATCTATATTCCTTACCTTCCTGCAACACTACCATTTGAAAAGGTACAGCTGAAAGGTGAACTAACAATCTGAACATCTGAGTAAAACCCACCATGGTCCCTGATGTTTATTATGAGTATGTTCCTGCAAGAACACCATGTTATAAAATGTCTAGCATAACACAATCTTTTTTTTAAACCAAATTCTGCCATTCTGATTCACAATCCAGATTCTTAGTGTAAGGAATATAGATAAATCTAAATTAAATCACAGCATCATCTGCAAAACTCACTAACTGCAGGCCAGCTTACCACAACAGTCCACTTTGCATGTGAGCTCTCTTCCCTGAAAGATATTCTAGGTTCCTTTGCTCGTAGAGGAGGAGTAACAGATCGTCCTGGGGATGCAGAGGGAGTTGCTAGGGGTGTAGTGCGAAGGCTGGACCTGAGAATAGACTGAGGAGTAAACCCAGGAAAACCGGAAGATGTGGCCAAAACTTTAGCTCTCTAGGAAAAAAAATAAAAACACTTAATTTAAAACCAGTTAAATCATCAAAACAGAAGACTGTGCTTAAGTTACAAAAATATAATTACCCTAAACTGTGAACTGGGTTTATAGCAGCAGAAAGTTTTGCCTCTGCACCGTTCTTCCAAAAATACTGACATTTTAAAGATAAAAATGCATGCTTTTTTTATTTCCCTTCGTTTGTCTTTGTAATGCCAATAAAATAAACGTTATTTTTCAAAATTACTTCTTCAGGAAACAAGGATATGACTGACATCTTGTTTTCTGCAATGTTATCTCCTATCCACTAATTTTTGCAATTCCTACACTGCTCCTTATAAAAGGCAAACAACTTCTCTCTGCACAGTAGCGTTTTCAGTCACTGCATCTGACAGCCATTCTGCAGAGAAACAGACACAGCTTTCTCCTTAATTAATCAGCCACACACAAGAGGAAGTGGCACTGCTGCAGAAATACCTACACATCTTCATGTAGAAGCATTCAGCTGTTCTTATCTCAGAGTATTTTACAGTATTGAAAGGGTTTTCAAAAGAGGAGGATGAAGTTAGTTCATTAGTATGGATGGTACTTCACAATAAGGTGAAAAGATGAAATTGTTCCACACAATAAAAATAAATTTAGTTCACAAAGCTATGGGACAAGCTGTCTCAACTGAGAATTAAAGTTTCCTGCTTAAAGACTGTTCCCAACTTAGTGCTTCCAAAAGGGCTGTGTATGTAATAACCACGTGCATACTGAAAATTTCAATCCAGAAGCACTTCTACTAAATACTTTGGTGATTTCACTTAAAACAAACCCAAGTTTTTCATTTGGTTGGTTGCCACTGAGTTTTTAAAATACAAACCTTGACCACACGAGGAGTTTCCAGTAAATTCAACTCTGATGCTCTTGTCAGGTTATTTTGGGAGCTGGAGTGCTGTGTGTTTGCTCTCGGGGGGCTGGATGCCACAAAAGAAGTGGAAGCTCTGCACGGGGACTGCCAGCTCTCCTCGTGTGCCACAGAGCAGGAAGGAACAGGACGAACCACCAAATCCAGCAATCTGTTAAAATACACATTTCAAACTGGAACATCAATTAATAAATGAAAAAAAGCATGCTGTGATTACCTCAGCTGATGCAGAACAAAAACACAGGAGAAACAAGAAATACAACCTCACTGCAGGGGGTGATCAATCAGTCCCACAAACAAGTGACAGGCACTTTAGAGCATTTTTTCATTATTTCTTTATATTTCATACCTAATTTCCTAAATCCCTGCATCTGACATAAGAATACCCAATTTTATGTTGCACAAATGACCTAATTCTCAGTAGTGGAGAAAACTCATCTACATTTCAATGCAAGGACCATTTTAAGTTGTGTACCTAATTTTGTCCCTAAGTTGACTTTTTCTTTGAGATACAACACTAAATTCAACACAATCCTTGGTAAACCAAAAAAAAAGCATACACACATGCACATGCATATACATGATAAACAATACAATTCTGAAATATAAAGTCTGTAGATCTACTATACCTTGAACACCTTTGAGAAAGTTTTGTAATAGGTGTCCCAAGAAATGCATCAGGCAACTCTGTACCAGGGAGAGGATGTGTACTGACTGCTGGCTCTGTAGTTCTAGGACTAGAAGGAAAATACAAACATAATTGATTTTTATTCCCTCGAAGCCCAGCCATATCAGAATTCACGTTTATCTAACTACATCCCATGTAGGACATTCACTTGACAATTTTAAGCCTCTTCTCCACTCTCGCTAATTCTGCTTATTTTTAAATAACCAAGCAGGAACTGGTAAAAGATTACTGTGAGGATTGCACAAATGAGTCTATAAAAGTTGGTACACCAAGAGCTTCATGGTAGTGACAAACAAGTTGAGTTTCAGTTTCTTAAACACTGTAAACGCATTTGCCATAATGCAAATATGTGCATGTGTATAGAGAAGATTATCATAGCAGAAAAACTCTCCAAACACTAACATGAGGAATTGATTGTTAGCTATTATATATGTACAGAAAGGCAAAACAAAGCTTATTCATGTCTACCTTCCCACCAAAAAACTAACACAATTCCAACTGAAATCTCTTTCTCTTCTACAACTCACTCTCTCTCCACCTCCCTCTCCAAACATGCAGCTTAAGAGTAACTTTTTATAAAAGGCTGCTTACCTATGATATTGTGAGGTATTTGTTTTCTCCTCATTTCCTAGCCATACTTCTCCAATTTTGGACAAAACTTTACTGATGAAAGTTGCTCTTGTATGCACATTTCCTGCATTAGCCTGCCTTGTGGCTGTTGATAATGGCTTTGGCCTTGGCACTGTAAAGCAAGAGGGAGAAGTATCAGCCTTGTGCATTCAAAGTGACGGCCAGCTGCACATCCTCGTTCCCTTCTCTCAAATTACCTTCTCTTGAGACCGATGAAGGCAAACGGTACGGCTTGGCTCTCTCTACTGCCAGCTTCCTCTGGACTGTGGGAAGGATCTTGCTATATTGGTCTAAGAGAGAATTTCTGGCTACTGCTCTCTCTCTCAAGCGAGGATCACGATCATTCTGACAAAGGAAATTTGCAAAGCAAGAAGTTAACAATTCACCAGAAGTTCATTGCACAGGACTGTCTCTGCTCTTTCCAACTAAGGCCGAAATTTGCTCTACAGACAAAGGAGAACAAATCCACTGCACAGAACCACAGCAAGTTCTAGGTTCCACCCAGGAGCACACATCAATTTCACCTGGTAGTTTCGGGTAAGTGCAAGGCAGACTAGTAAAAAAAACCAAAACCATAAAAACTCCAAACAACTCCAAAACTCACAACTAAAAATTATAAGGCACATTTTACCTGTGGAGCATCTAGACTGCTCTCAGGTAAAAGCCAGATATGAGACATGAAATACAACGTACTCTTCATTCCACAGAAACAAGTAACACAAACAACTTCCATAACCTAAACCATACATAACAGAGGGATCTGAGGAACTGAATGAAAAGACAAGATACATATTTATTCCTCAGATGCAAACAAACTCTTTTAACTGGAGTCAATAGTGGTCTGTAAGTTTTAATTCACAATTTCACACAGCAGGACTGCTACCCTTACCAATAGATGAGCCTTCATGGACTGATTCAGCTGGAGTGCTGGGATGTAGTTGGCACGCTGCAGATGGTGGACTAAGAGGAATTCATGGTTGTGAACACCAGATTTGGTCTGTAAAAACTTCTCCAAACACTCCTGTAAGAAATAACACATTTCAAACATCATTACCATTCTGCCTCTTCTCTTGCCAAAGAGACAAGGCTTTTTTGTTTCTTCTCCAAACTCACTTTTTCTGTGTCTGTGAAGGGCAGCTTCAGCAAATCCTCCATCAGCCCCATCTCCTGACAGATTTCATACATGTGCTTTAGCAGCTCCTCTATGTTTAACTTCGTGGTGTGTTGCTGCAACAGACCCCAAGCCTCCACCATGCACCTGCAGTTAAGGTTTAGGACATGGAAAGGAATGGGAACACTGAGGCCAGAAAGATGCCCCACAGTGATGGTATCCATTCAAAGCTCAAAGGAAATGGTGGAGAGCCCCATTTGTGCCATCAGTTCTCCACATTTCCCAAGATGTGAATGCCAAAAGAGGGAAGGTTTCCTTACCTGTTGGACAAGAGCACGGTGAGGAACAGCCGCACCTCGTTGCTGCTGGACATGGACGGCTTCATCATCTGCATGTACCTGAGGGCTCGCCTGTGCTCCCCCTGGCACATCAGGGACTGGATTATCCTCATGTGCTGCCATGACACTGTCTTGAGTGTGGCTGGATGGAAGAGCAGGGCCAGGGAATTCTGGACAAGTTGAGAACAGCTTCATTACCATAGATGCAAACACCCATGCAACAAAGAGTCAACACTTTCTGCAGCAAGGCTGGATGTGGGTTAGACCAACTGAGAGGTCTAAATAAGAAAATACTTGATCCAGGACACATCAGTAAAATTCTTCAGTATTTGCAGGGAAAAAAAAAAATCAGCCACCCAGAAGAAAGTGAATGCTTTAAGAGGAACAAATCAGATTTTTTTAAGTTCACAAAACGCCATGTTTAGACATCGCTTTTAATAAATACATTACTTGGTAACTTACACTATAAAAAATTGGTTGTATTAGCACAGTGACAAGAACAACATTCAGTATTAGGAAGAATAACTATTAGGTTGAAAAGTCACTCCTGCAGTCTTTTGTCTCAAATGCTCCTGTTATCAACACAGTTTCCATGCTTAAAGTACCCAAAACACTCTTCTAGAAACAGTGCCCAACCAGTCTGCTGTAAACCTAACCATGGACAGCTTTGAAAATTCAAATATTAAGCATTAAGTTGATTACTCCTTTGTTTCAATCAATTTCCTGTTAAAGTAGTTAAAACAAAATTTCAAATCACAACTTGTTGCTGAAGATGTCAGACCAGTGTAAAAAAAAAAAAAGCTTCCAATGCTTCAATAGCTCCTTATACCTAAGTACCAATTTAAAAAAAATTGTTATTGGTTACAGCTCTGCAGTGCAATGTGTGTCTAATTCAACTGTCTCATACTTACTTCATAATCATTGTGATCTAGAAGCCAAAACCCTTGAATCAGCTTAACAAGACCCCAAGGGATAGCAAAGGCAGTTGGAAAGGAGTCAATTGAAGTTTCTGTTTTATTTGGAAAGGAATGCATAATATCCAGCAGCAAGTAAATTGTCTGAGAGTATCTTATTAAGGTGAATAAATCGCTAAGACCAAAAACTTGTATCACTTTACAGTTAGCAAAACATAGTAATATTATCATCACAGGAAGCAGCAAATCCTAATGTATTGATCTTGCCATTTTAAGCTATAAAACCCCTTATATCAATAAGCAGGTCTTAATCTCAAAACTGTATTCTGAATATACTTCCAGAAAGAAAGACTTGAGGATTTCTGTAAGGCAATCAAAAAGGCAAATATTGGGTGTTTATATACTGCTCTTACAACCCCAGGCTTCTGCTTCTGTCAGTGAAGCTACCAGTTGGACAGGCAACACACTTAAACATTCAATGCCTAATTATTAAAGAAAACAAGTTCTACAGCTGTTTTATTCTCATTTCCTGTCTTCACAAAACCAACACAAATTATGATGCCCCTACAATGCAACTTAGCACTGACTGCTTGAAACTGTTTAAAACTGCATGTGGATCCCTCACTCAAAAGTGTCATCTTCCATTTCTGACCTCCCATGTTAGGAACATGTCTGAATAAGGCAGCTTGGGACTACAACCATTTTTAACCCCTTCACTCTCCAGGCTCCACTCTTGGTTTAGCCAACAAACAACAAAGGTAATTCTGCATGTTCCAACAGCCTAAAAATTAGGCTTCTGCCCAATGAATATTCAGTGTGCCTGCACTTTTCACACAAAAAATACCCAAAACCAAACAGTTAGTAAGGCTGGGAAACAAATGATTTTGGCAAAAATCAGCAACTGGAAAGCCACTGTTACAAATCTTTTACTCTGAAACGGTACATTTTAGGGCACCATACTCACAAGCAGTCATATGCTACATATAGAGGTGTCTTAAAAAATTAGTAACTGCATTAAAATTTGAGAAGAACTAAGTGAGGTTTTTATCTTGAATTCAACTTAGAGAACGTGTTTTCTCATAGGAGAAGAGACTTTGCAACAAAACATTTAAAAAAGAAATCAGTAAACGTCCAGTCTAGAAAGAAATTTAAAAATGCTTCTGTCAATGACTTAATTCTATTACAAATGTGTTCACTCACATTGTGTTTGAGGCATAAATTTAAAAGTGCTATTAACCACACACAGGTGACAAGTATGAAAAACTTTTATGTGCACACACTGAAGAAGTAATAACAGAATCTGGAAAGGATACAATTGCATGTTTGTCGCTTTCTTCAATGCTTTCTAGCAAATAGAGATCCAGCAGTGCCTGAAATGAAAGATGAAAAGGTTTTCTAATGCTCCTGTCTTCCACCATCATTGGCTTTAGGGGACTGCTGCTGCTGGGGTTTGCAGTGACCACAACACTCACATGTAAACTAACAGGTGGGTATTTCCCAGTGCCGCCTTCATCTCTCTGCCACAACTTCTCCACTTCCTCTCCCAGCTGGGAAACCATTCCATCAATCATCAAGCAATCAGAATCCCATTTGCCTCTGCAACAAAAGGGACCAAGGGCTTGCACAGAGTAAAACACTCATTCCAGCCTCTCAGTGTCACAGATTCTGGAGTCAGAGCAAAGATGGTCCTTAGCTCACAATGAACTTATTCAGGAGTCCCAAGTACAAACCCAAGAGAAGAGTGCAATGACCTTTTGGGTTCCAGGTTTGCTTTCATGCTCTGTTATGTGTAATGCCAAGGAGAGCAGACAAAGGGTTTTAACTGCAAAAATAACCACTCTCACACAGTCTAACAGTGGCAGCTTTCTAGAGCATTCCTCTAAGTCTTACCTTGACAAGCGCTCGAGTTTCTGTCGGTGACCCGTATAGTAGCTCTGAATCAGAGGGTAATTGTAGAAAGGTCTGGACAAATGCATGTGATCATCTACAGGTGATAAATAAAAAGCAAGTTAAAGAAGTAAGACCACATTTTTCAACTAAAACTGTGGTCCAGACAGACAGAAACCACACAACCTCAAGTGCTTTGGTACTACAGGCTCTGTGCTTACCTAAACCTTCAGGAAGGAGACTGGATCGACAGAACCAGATCACCACTTGTGCATACAAAGAAATGAGGCTGGTTACCATCTGCTTATTTGTCAAGTCTGTAAAACCTGAAAAAAAGGCATAAGATGTTTTGGATATTCCTCTCATTTTTACAAAGCTCCCCTCAGCAGAACAAACACAAAGTATAAAACACCATGGTGGAACTCTTTGTACATGCAGTTGCCCCTCTGGATCAATTATAAACTTGAAGGAAAAAAAACCCACTGTTCACCCTCAAAACAAAAACCAAACAGTACAAAGAAACAGAATCACTAAAGATTAAAATTAAAAATTATGGTCTTATCTGCAAGATAAGGAAGGAAGAAGACTATGTTTTCCACATAGCAGAGATTTTTATTTTAGTAAAAGAGATTATAGTCCTCTTTATCCCTCAAGATGCCAACAACAATTTTTAAAATCAGAAGCCAAAAGGAACTTCCTTTATAGATTACACATTTCAGTTTCTATTGTATTTCCCAGCAATTTGTACACAACTATCAATTGCTAGCTAACAATTAGGAACACTTCTCAGCATTACCACACTCAGCTGCTGCAATTGCTGCCCAGGTGATTACTCAGCTCAGTGCTGAACAAGTGTACCTGCTCCTACCCAGCCTCATGAACTCCACAACAAGCTGCTCCCCTGAACTCAAAGGGGCTTAAATCAAAGTCCCAACTGATCAGATTTAAACCCCTCCTCCCAGCTCAACCTGACTCTCTCCCAACCATCCAAAACAACAGCAGCTCCTGTCTCCACAGTTACAACCCCAGCATCCTTCCAAAAGTTAACAATCACACCAAAGGCCCAGCAGGGCTCTCACCAACCTTTCTCTGTAAGCTCTCGGGCTTCTGCTAGGAAACAGTTCAGGACTGTGCTGAGGTTGCTCAGCAGCAGCTGGCAGTGCTGGAGGGACTGCAATGTCTGCGGGTCAATGAAGTTGCAGGAGCCGTCAAACAGCGTAACACCTCGTCAAGGAGAAACATTGAATCAACACTCAGCACAGTTCCACACAGAACTGCACACTTCCAAACTTCAACACTTCAACACCCACAAGAGACTTCAAGAACCACTTAAAGAACCAATAGCAGACACTGGCAGAGTACTGAAGAAGATCCTTTACATAGAATGACTCAAGGTTTTAAAAACCAGACCACTACTCACATATTTGGTCCAGTTCATCTTTTGTACAGATCACTTTGTTCCACGTCCACTCAAGAACAAACCGTAAATTTACAGCAGAACTTGGCTGCTCTTTAAAAACAGAAAACAAAAAGGACATGAAGCCATGATTTCTAACCAAAACACACACACAACACAAGAACAGTGGAAGCAGCATTACCTTCAGAAGTCCAGTGTTTAATGCATCCCGTCAGAAGGTCTAAAGAGCCTGTCTGCACAGCAGCTGACAGCACTGCCTCCAACTGCTCCTCCTACACAGAACAGACAAAAGCAAATCACAACCTCACACACTTTTCCTCTCAGTCTCACCTTGATAAACACTGCACTTTCTGTTGGTGACCCATGTAGTAGCTCTGAATCAGACACTACCTGAGCCACTGACAGAAGTGTTTGCTGCTGACTGGTTACCCACTCAGACATCAGCTGCAAATGCTGCTAGTTCCATATTCTTGACTCTTTCCTCATTCTAGCCACAAGCTGGACTGCTGCTTGGTTTGAGGAACACAGGAACGTTTTCCTCTGACATTTCAACTTCATGCAGGCTAGTTTCAATCTCTATTTCTGTGCCTCAGGGTTTCAGTCTTCATTCACTGAGTCCCAGTTAACTATTTGCAGTAACATCCCCTGCTAACACCCATTATGCACTGTGGGCACACCCCTTTGCCATCAGGAACACGTGAAGGGAACAGAGCAAACACCACTGTGTTTGCATGGAGACAGTGAAGCTGAGGCCAAGCAGCTCCTGAGACCAGCAAGACAGGAAGCAGCTCTGACAGCCAAAACATTAGGTTTCAATTTGTCTAAGCACCATAAAAAATGGGAAACATTTCAGTTCTAATGGTCTGGAATTTCAGGCTGTTCAATTACTGTATTCTAATGCCATGGCAGTCCTTGAGAAGGATAATGCACACACATGGAAATAATGTAGCAGCTTCTTCAAGCTCAGACATTTATTTCAGGTGAAATGATCCTGCAACAAATTTTTCTTTTTTTCTTTCCTCTATTTTTTAAAAACAAATTTTACAAGTTTGCATTCTAAGAAAGTCATGACATTTAAGAGCAATTTCTACATATTAGAAGACATACAGGATATTTCCACCTTTTTCTGCAATCTGTTTTCAGACAAGGAAACATGCCAAATACTACTCAGGGCACAAAACAAAATTCCAAGTTATTTGATCCTAATTCTGAATTTTTTCTTTCTAGTATTCAAAAGCAATCCCTATTTAATGCAGTGTCTGAACAATATAGTCACAATTCAGCAAAGGTCATCATAAAATTTCTTGCTATCCCAAGTAATTTCACACCAGAGTTGACATCAGAACATCTAATCAGAATGTAAAAGCCTACATCAGGCTTGCAAAATAAGCATTCTATGGGCTGGGTCTGCTTGCCAAATTTGTTTTAGCTGCCACACTATGCAGAAGTGCTATTTTTCCTGGCACATTTCCACAGTCTGCTGAAGAATCCCACAGACAGGAAGATGAAGACAGGGGAAGACTGCTCTCCCCTTCCTAGTGCTTGCTCTCCACTCCATGATGACCATTGAACCCTTCAGCTTTGACCCTGCCTGGAGAAAGATGGGCTGTTCATCACAAAGGCTCCTTCTTTCATGAAACCCTTCAGATGAGAAACAAAGTTTATTGCACGGAAAACGGAAAACACATGAGACAGGGTGTGAAGCCACTGTGGTGACAGACAGAATGCAGCAGTGTTGAGAGATACAGGTGAGGCAGGTGCTGCAGCAAGAGGGCAGTCTAAGAGGAGGAAATCAAGCTACCACAGCTCAAGGCAAAGGCTACAGAGGTAAAGATCAGTTTGAGAGAGCACAGGGAAGGGAAATTCCCAGATGAAGGGATAACGAGAGGAAGTGGTGATGCAGTTGTCAGGTAGAGAGCACCATTATAACTGGTCAGCACTTCCTTGGAAGGAAATAATGTCTAGTGCAGCAAGCTGGTGTTTGCAATAGTGCACATCTGATGGAGAGGCACCACTGGGGCAACCCTACTGCCCTGCACCCAAGGCTCTGAGACACTGCGGGCATGCAGAGGATGAAGGCTGTTCCCAGGGAGAGCTGCCTACTGATGCACGTGCCCAGCACTGACTGAGTGCTTCCACATGCAGACCCGGGCATGGAATTTACAGACACTGAAGACAAACCTCTCAAGGCTGCCCACAGTCAGAAGAACATTATTACTTCTGCTAACTGTATGTCAAAACCTGCTTCTCAGAGCAGTTTGCAATCAAAAATCATGGTCTTGTAGCCTCTACAGCCTTCAGACAAGATGGATATATTTCCCCCTGGATTTTCCAGCATACACCCACCTGACTCAGACTGGATGGCTGGACATCAACCAGTCTTGGAGACAGCAAGCCAGCTACAAGACACCGAGAGTAGCTGTCACGGATGGCTTCACTTATTAAAGGACCAGATTTCTTCAAAAACTTCAGGGTCTGAAACATCAATCAAAACACACAGGTTAAGACAGCATTTAATCACTAAGATGACTTAGGCTGTCAGAAAGCTGCACTAGTAGCAGCAGGCTTTAGGTTACCAATTTTGGTAAGTATTGCTATGTAGACACTAACAGTTTGAGTTTCTTTAAAAACCCTTGTAATGCTGAAGGCAAGAAAGTATTTTCCAGGCTGTCTGTCAATACACAGGCCTTGCTTTTCCCTGAGCATTGACACAAACTACATTCTGTAGAAGTTAAAACTAATACAACTACAAATCACTCTTTGAAAGACTCTATGCTCATTGGTGAAGGAGATGATTTATATGGGTATATTTAGTGAGATGGAACTTAATTTGAAAGAGTTTGTCAAAAGCTGTGCAGTAGCTCAGAAATCAGAATTCGGCCAAGGTTAGAGAAAAAACATGCATTTCTTCCTCAACAGTTAAATCACTTTTCCCTCTCTCCATGCTCAAGTTCATCAGGGATCAAGACCCCACCTCCACACCATACAAAGAAGTAAACATTTCCCCAGCTTCCACCACACCCGTCCTTTCCAGCCATTCAATCCCTGCTCATGCCTCCCTACAACAGTGCCATCTGCATGAAACTGGCACGATAGGACTGCAGCTATGCCTGTGGATGGGCAGTGTGAGCATCAAGTGGTCTCTGACACCCAAAGCACTGCAAGAGAAAAGTTACCAAAGGTTCATCTCTTGACACTCTCAATACAGTAAAAAAAGTCACCTCCTTCTGGAAGCCGGTGCAAGTCATGTGAACAACTCCCGAGCTGAGCAAGCACGTCACGTCTGCAGAAACAAGGAACATTTGACAGACCCTGGCACCTCCTCACCAGTTCAGGCTTTATAAATAGTGCTGTCTGCAAAGACAAACCTCCAGCACCACTTTCCTTCCTCACATCACTTACACACATCCCATAAAAAGGAGTTACTCTCTGTCTCTAGAAACTTGAGTGCTACCCAGTGCTGTGCTTTGGGCCTCAGCTCAGAGGCTTTTCATTTTGGGACCACCACCCCTTCCCAGGCCATGTTACAGAAGCTCCAAAACCCAAAACTCAGCTGCCTGTCTGATATGTTTCACAAGACTAAGTGCCTTGCCAGGACACAGTAACCAGGTTGGAGAAGGTTTGTGGGGCTTTTTTTGGATTGGTTTTCATGTGACAAACAATGAACAAGAAAGAGAACCACTCAAGTGGCATTTCACCTCCACCAAAGCTTGCCACTTGATTCAAAGGAAAAGCAGTGAAATACCTACCAAAATTATAGGTGCTTGGATTAAAGAACTGTTCAGGTGGTGGATAAGAAGGAGGAACTCCCCGACTCAGACTACGCTCGTGTACCAGAATATCCAAAATGAGGTTTGGAGAAGTCATGCTTATTACAGGATCCAGTGACCACAGGGCAAAATAGGGGCAATCATGAAGGAATTCTTCTGGCCTTAAAGAAAACAAGTGCATAAGCTCAATAGCAATTTTCAAATTAACCTTTTGTAGGGATATTGAAACCTCTTAATTAAGACCTACCTCAGCGAGTCTGGCATTTGGGCATGATACCAGCGATTGATGTCAAACACTCCCAAATAAGTAGAAGGTTTTCCCTGACCATAGGTATTCACTTGCCAACTGAAGATTGATACACTGGTGTCAGGAGAGATTACTGTCAAAGACAAGACATTGTTTCTTACTGTAGAAAATATGAGATTTTTGGTGGTTTTAAAATATCACTTTCTATTTTGGCTTAATTCTATTATTTCACTCAAGAAACACAAGACTTTATTAAGAATTATGAAAACAATATACAGAGTAGCAAATGTCAATGTTATAGGTTTTAATCATTCTGCCTCTCTTTCAAATTGTATCTGTTCCAAAACAAACCAAATACACAATTATTAGCTCATCAAGTTGTTCATCCAGATCATCAAAAAAAGATATCAAATAGAACTGGCTCCAATACTGAGCCCTGGGCAACACCAGTAGTAACCAGGCACTAAATGGATGCAGCCAGAGGTTTGAGCAGGATAAAAAATATTCAGGTAACATTCCTAAGCAAGAGACAGAAGGATCTTACTGTTCAATGCAGACAACTGGCAGAACAAACTGACTGACCACCCTTATACAGATGACCCCATACACTGCTCCAGCATCCCAGCAAACATAAAATAAAGCCTACTTTTTCCCTTAAAATATGATGTTCAGAGGGATAAAAAAGTCCCACATAACTTCAGCAAACAATTTTACTTTTTAAATAAGCCCAGCAAGGTCAGCTAGATGACTACTTAAGACTTTAAGACTGTGTGTGCAGAACAGCATTTACTACTTAGACTTCCAAACTATGCAGTTCAGAATAACCAAGCAGGGACATCAGAACAAACCTTCATTAACGTTATCCTCTCTGTCAGCATGGTTGCGAAATTTCTCTATGGTCTGACAGCTGAGTAATTTAGTATTGCTGGTCTGCCCTCTCAAGGGAAAGATTCCACCAGTGAGGTCTAAACTGTACCTTTCATCACAGTATTCCAAACCCTGTGTGGGGAGAGAAAAAAAAAAAAAAAAAAAGCCAATTTATTTCTAATGAACTTATTTCTGATAGCAAATAAGAAAAATCTGACATTCAAAAGAATTAAGTGTCAAATTTTAACAGATATTGGCTGAAAAGGCTTTGCACATTTTCAAATATTAGCATTTCCTTAGCAAAACTTTGCTCTGAAGCATGCACAGTTCACACTATTTTATTAAGGAATTTTGGAAGTAACAGATGTATGCAAGACAGATAAGAAAAACCAAAACCACCTCTTTGAAAAACTAACATGAAGCCTAAGCAAAGAACCTCATCTTCACTGTAGGATAACTAATCACTAAAACCAATTTTAACAGAGATGATGTCCTGAACAAGAAATTCACCATTCCAAAATACAGTTCCAGAAGATAAAGCACTAAAATTCTATAAACCTGCCCTGAATTAATTTTAATGACTAGAAATTTCTGCTTTCATTCATATATGTAGAGCCATTCCACCTTTTGGTGCAGAGGGGAAGGAGAAAGTAATACCAAATAGTTCCTGCCAAAGACAACTTCCTAATCAAAGCTGCATATTTTAGGTTCTCCACACTGGGGTAAGGAAATCTAAGTTAAGGAACTGCAGTGCATAGAAGATATTGAGAAATGACATTCCAGATCAGTTAAACAGGACAGTGTTCAAAGGAGTTGCACTGGTCAGACACTGACATGAACATAGAGATTGCACTCAAGCCTTGTGCAGAACAAAGGTAACGATATGTTCCAGGACCATGAACTGATCTGCAAGATACAGCAGCTGCTGAGATGATCTAAAAGAGCTCTTTGCAAGTCTAATTTAAGAGTATCTTTCCGTTTTCTTACTTGAGCAGATTTAAACCAGCCTTGAAGGCAACAGAGACTCAAGTCTGACACATTTATAAAAATACAGTGCCACATGTTCCAAAAGGTCCATTTGTGACTTCTACCATGACATGAAGTCAAAAATGCATGGTTTCATAGCCTCAGGTCTGATTCCTGGGATGTACAGCAGTGATGTAAGCAGACAAATGTTTTAAGCTCCTATGACATACTCAGTGAACAAGGAGCAGCAGTAGAATAATTTCTCCTTGTTTACTCAAGCTTGGCTTGGCAAAGGGGAACTACTCTTAAATTTTATGTCCCTGAAGACCAACGAGAAGAGAGCCATCATGTCATACTGACCAATCTGTGACCACAATAAGAATTCCAACACTTAAGTGTCCACTGGTGAGGACAGATCCTATCGTGATGCGTCCCTTGGGAATGGATTAAGAATTGTTTTGTGGGGATTTTTTGGAAGTAGATGCTATCAGGTCTCAGCATGAAAGTACACTATTAAGTGGTTTATCTGTAAGCCAGCTGCAGAACCTGTCTTTCCTCTTCAGAGGGTGCAGATGTTCAGCGCTCTTCAACAGCCTTCTAAGATTGGTTCCTGTTATAATCTTTCTACACATGCCTGTGAATGTACTACTGGTTGTACAGTCTGCAGAGGGATCCAACTCTTACCTTAACTACACCACAGGTTTTTCAGGTCACAAACACAGTAACAGTTTTTATCACTTTGTGTGCCTTTTTTCTAAGAGTGTCAAGTGGAATTTCTAGTAAATCAATTTTTAAAGACTGATGAAATATTTCAGCTCTCTGAGGTATAAATTGACATTTGTCACATCTTGTTCAGAAAAGACAACCAAGACAAATAACTGCCAAATAGTTCAAGGTCTCGCATTTTAACATTAAATTGTTCAGATGGAAAAAAGTAGTAGCCATGAGGGAAATAGAGACAATTGCTTTTTCCCCAGTGCAGCACACAGTAAAAGGTATTGTCCTTGTCACTGCTAAGACTTAGCTAAAAATTTTCTTTTAAGAGGATAAAACAAAACTCAAATTCAAAAGCAAATCTCGAGAAGATTAAAGAAACTTTCTCCTATCAACCTGCCAAAGTGCTTAGAGCACTACAAGATGCAGGAGTGAACTGCAATGAAAACCCTTAAAAAAACCCAACAAACCCAAACACAAAAAAACCCCAAGAAAACAAGGGGTTCTGTTCCTCTAGAGCACTGTATATTTTTGTCACTTAAAAACTGCACATGAAGATATGACATGCATATTCAGACATGTTGAACCACTTGAAGGTATTTCTACTTCATCACCATGACAGATGATGTATTTTAAAGAAACACCACCTCCTCCCAACACCCAACCTTATCTGTTCAAAAGCAACACTTTCAAATCAGGAAGGCCCTCTCCTACAGACAAAAGGAAAAAAGCACAAAATTCAAACTCATTCAAAAAATTCAAAACTCAAAGTCCTTATTAAAAAAAAAATCTTTGAACCACAATCCAAGGATTACCTCAATTTCATTTTGTACTACTGAGAACATACAAGGACAAATGTCAAATAGGAGGAACGACTTGCTGTGAATTAAGATTACTTTCCCATCTAAAAGATCTTGGTAGAATTTCATGCATATAGAAATGCTGAATAGAATTAAACATTATAAAACATTATAGAGGTGCTTCTTGCCTTTGTTAGATTATCTGAGACCTTATGATACCCCTTCTATATTTTATCTATTCTATACCACAGCATATCTGCACTTAGTTCTAAAAATTTAAAGACTTTTCTGACCAAATCATACCATTGTACATCTTTTGCTGGCTTAAAAGGAGTAGGTTTCAGAGACAACCCATTCAAAACTCAAAACAAGAGTCATCTTTACAGCTACTGAGTTTCAGAATCAACGCCGAAGAGACATTGTAGGTATTTCTGTAGGTGTATTTGAAGTCAGGCTGACAGAGTTTAAAAGAAAAACAAGACTATAAAACAGAGATCAGAAATGTATAAAGAGAAATATATGACCATCTTGAAAGAAAGGGAGATAGACAGAAGCTTACTCAAATCTACAGTCTGGTAACACAAAGCTATTCAAAGCCTTGTCTTCTCTTCCTACATGCCATTCATGTGATGTTTAAATGAAGAGTAATTTGTAACAGCCATTTCCTCTTCAGGAATCAGATGTGTAAGGGCTCCTTGCAGATGAATCTAGGTGGAACTCATGACACTGAAGTATAAAACTGTATGGCTTCAGCATGGACAGATTGTGTCTGACCAATCTGGCCATCTTCTACCATGGAGTGACTGAAACACTTGACGAGGTAAAACGGACCGATGTCATCTACCTAGACTTCTACAAGGTCTCTCTACAATCCCTCATGACATCACCATCCCTACATTGAAGACAGGCAGATCTGAAGGGTGGACTACTCAGTGGATAAGGAACTGGTTGGAAGGACCAAGCCAGAGAGTTGTGGCAAACAGTCTATCTATCTCCAGGCACGGACTGATGTTGAGTGTATCCCTCAGAAACCTGTGTGGAGATCAGTGCTCTTCAATATCTTCATCAATGACACAAACAGTGAGATCAAGTGCACCTTAATCAAGTTTGTAGATGACATAAGGCTGAAAGGTGCAGCTGACAAAACAGAAGGCCAGGATGTCATCCAGAAGGATGTGGAGAAGCCGGAGAGATGGGCCAATGGGAATCTCAGGACATGAAGGTCAGCAAGTCCAGGTGCAAGGTGCTGCACCTGGAATGGGGCAATCCCAGACATGACTACAGACTGGGAAAAGTGACTGAGAACAGCCCTGCCAAGAAGGATTCTGGTGGGGGTTCTGGTGGACAGCAAGCAATATGCACTCATAGTCCAGAAGTCCAATCTCATCCTGGGAGACCTCAGGGCAGCCTTTCAGCACATAAATGGAGTTTATAAAAAAGAGGGAGGCTTTGACATTTTAAAAGGGCAGATAGTGACAGGACAAAGGAGAAGGGGTTTTCAAGCAAAACAGGAGAGATTTAGATTAGATGTTAAAATAATTTTTTTACTGTGAGAGTGGTGAGGATCTGGAGGTCAGGCTGCCCAGAGATGCTACAGATGTCCCATCCCTGGAAGTGTTCAAGGCCAGAGTGGATGGGGCCCTGAGAGAACTTACCAAGTGGGTGGCATCCATAGTCATGGCAGGTGATTGGAATACATGATATTTAAGGTCTTCCAAACAAAACCATTCCATGATTCTATTACTTGTTCTGACAAGTATAGACAAAAGAATGCCTAAAAAGACTCATCAAAGGACTTTTCTTAAGTCTCACTGATCTTTCATGTTAAATATTAATCTGGTCAACTTAACTGATCCTTACTTAGACAAATTACTATTTTTGTCTTCTCACATACAGGCCTGTCTTACCTCATACATGACTTGTCCAGATGCCAGGCGTTTCCTGTCACCAAATGCTAACTGCAACAGATGTAAACTCACAACATCACCTTCACTGAAAAAGGTATAAATGAGAAAACTTGGTTACAAAGCTGCTTTACAATTCTCATTATCATTTTATTAGATCTAGGCTGAAGCTGACTTAAGAACATGCTCTTGCTGAAAAGAAAAACACTGCTTCCCAAAACATGACAACTGGTTCACATTTAGCCATTAAAACAGAAAGGAGGAAATTTTGACATGAACAGCTTCAGGGGCAAATGCTAACTATGCCTTTCTTTGGAAAGTTTTAATATGCAACATGGACGAAAAAATTGCTGAATTGCTGGAAACAGCTCACAACAATAAAGCATTCTCCGTGAAAACTGCTTTTAAGTTGAACTTAAGAAGACTGTCAGTCTATGAACAGCTGTGCTGATTGAGTAGCTTGCTGATGATGTTTACTGCTCTGCATCTGCAGCCTAAACCACTTTAAATGGTACTGAATATCATGGTGGGAATACCAAACAAATCTTGAAGCAGTCATCAAGAAACAAGGGGAACCATTTGAGACTGCAAGCACAAAAACATAGCCACTGTTTCCTTCACCTTCTTCCACAAGGTAGTAAAGAGTCAAGCCCCTTTTTGCAAATGTAATATCCTGAAAAAATTGCACTGTAAGCCTAACACTTTTTATCTCCTGTACTGTTAAAGAAACAAAATGAATACACAGATATCAACCTAATGTGAACAAATATTAAAAAACCAGTGACTTATGGTAGGATTATATTCACCTTTGTTGTGTAGACTGAACAGCCCACAAGTAGCAACAATTGCGGGGATCATTCTCAGGCTCTTGAAAAGTAACTGCATAGACAGGAATCCTTCCTCCTTCAAGCTGGGAGTGGTGCCTACAGGTTTAAAATAAAAATATAGAAAAAAGGAGAGCCTGCTAGCTCTGGCTGTTTGTAGAAAGGTAGAAGCATCTTCTGGGAAAAAAGCAGCTTGCATACTTATCCTCAAAGTACAGATGGTCATACTTCCATTTAAAACAACTGATTGTCAACAACTGACAAGCCACTACTTCTTAAGTATTTGTCTTCCCAACTTCTGAACTTCAATTGCATCTTCACAATTTTTTTTTTTTTTTGCATATAATTATGTGTCCACTGTCTATTTATACATCCATAATGCATCCACAACACATACACAGTTTCTGGGGAGGCACTGTAGATTTCCTTAAGTAAGGCCTATCTGAATGTGGTCATATATTTCAAGTGGCAGATTTCAAATCACCTCTAAATTTCACTACTGCTTAAAATGTATATATCCCTTATTCTGATCTCCAGATCTTTCAAACAAACTTTCATTCACATATTCCTGGTCCGGGAATGAGTTGACCACCCAATTTCCATCAAGGCTGAAATGTAGGAAACAATGTATTTTCAGGCACAGATCAACTGTTGAATTATCATGTCTAACTAGATCCATCATGGGCACTTTAAAGAATATGATCACCAAAATCACATTATTCATATAGTGAAGCCTTTCAATGGATGCCCTAATTGCAGTAACTGGTTGTGAATCATTCCAAATCTCTCAGGGAAACCAACACACTGCCTGGGTCCACAAAATACGACTGGACAGAACAGACTTATACAAGTCAGCTCTATCACACCCCTACTGCACGACCTCCTGAAGCAAAAAATTGGGACCTCTGCACCTCCAAGTACAACCAAGTGAAAGTGACTACTTACTCCCTCTTCAAAGTTTTCATATTCCATAGTGATAAGTAGCCATCAGAAAATCCCACAACGAGCTGGTTGCTTCTGCTTATGTAGCACAGGGTGGATACTGCTGTTCCTGAAGGACTTCGCAACTGAAAACAGAGATGCCTCCCTTCCCTGGTCACAGCTTCTCTTCTTTGGGGAACTTCAGCAGGAATTCTAGTGACAACTTCTAGATCTGAACACATAAAAGCATGTGAGAAATGAATGCATTTTGCCACTTCAATTGCATTTTAAACTGATGTGATTATACAACATGTATAATCTAATTCTGCAAATGGAA